TGAGTTGAACCTCAAGTGCCAACGGGGATGGATTGGGAGTCACATGCAGGCTCAGCAAGCAAGTGCCTGATCCAGTAGTGTCGTCCTCCAAGAGCAAGAGGTGGGAGGGAGGGGGTTCCACACATGCCACATATTTGCCCACCCTTCACCCTGGGGGAACAAATAACATTTAAAGAGCCCAGGTGACTTAAATATTCCTTAACTCTGCATGTTAAGTAGCAGCAGCTCTGGGTGCCTGGGTGGCTCAGATGGTTAAGCATCTGCCTTCGGCTCAGGTCATGATCCCAGGGTCCCGGGATCGAGCCCCACATCAGGCTCCTTGCTCAGCGGGAAGCCTGCTTCTCCCTCTCCCTCCACTTGCCGATCCCCCTGCTTGCGCTCTCTCTCTGTAAAATAAATAAAATCTTTAAAATCTTTTAAGAAAAAAGAAGTAGCAACTGAGAGAAGTTGGGAGAAGAAGGTGTTTCTGTCCAGTTCCACTGTGACTGAGTGGGCAAGGAGAACACTGAGGCTGGACGGGCCAGATGGGTTGGGGGCTCCCTCCTCAGCTCCTCAAATCAGAAGCCATGCCTTGGGACTCAGAGCCCTGCTGCCCCCTTCGCAAAGCGAAATGACTCATGGGACAGCGTCTCCATCTACCAAGACTTCCTTCCCTTCAGCCCACTCCCCACAAACCCCAACCTCCCCCACCAAGGTATGTGCCCCAGCCTAGAGGGCAGGACAGACAAAATGCTCTCTCAGAAAAAGTGAGCGACTTGCTCACCCAGTGCACTGGAGAGTTTGAACGGCATGGCTGGCAGGGCAAATGAGGCAACGGAACATCCCCTTTCCTGACCTTTGACCTTGCCTGCCACAGGAAGTGGGGGTCTCTTTCCACCACTTTTCTGTCTCCAGCGTTCAAGGGATGCCCCGCCCAAATGCAGCACCCCCAAATCCTGAGCATCTTGGCCCGGAAGGGGCAGAAACACCCGAAATCCCTGGTTGGAAACCTAGCTGACATGGGTGACCCTGGGCAACTCATCCTGTGGGAGTCTGTTTTCTTGTTTGTTAAATGGGGATACACGACCTACTGCACTGGAATTTTGTATGAAAATGTGTGTAAAATATCTGGTACAATGGAAAGTTTCTTTGCCCCCTTGTCACATCCCCTCAACGGGCTCCAAGAAGAACTAGAGCCCCCCCCCCACAAGCCCGGCTCCTCTCCAGGGGAAGGAATCCCCTCCCCCACCCTCCAAGCCGGGCTGGGGGCTGTGACCAGGTCTGGCTTCACCAGGGGGCGCTCCCTCCCCAGCAGGCGTGCCCTCACCGCCCAGTCCTATCGAGAGGGAGCACCAGCTCGCCCAGGGGAAAAAGTCATGGAATTATGAGAGACACATCCCAATCACTGAAACCTTTCTAAAATTGTTTAATACGATTTAAAAATTATGTCTGAGAATTGAGGAAATCTGATAGTTTTTAAAAACTCTTGAAATAAAAAGGGGAAACAAAGTTTTGAAGGAAAAGCCACGAGCAGTGCAGAGCTCCTCCCTTGCCCACATCAGAGGCTCCCACGGCTAGCTCCGCCATCGGGGCCTGCCGCCCTCTGGTCCCGGCCACCCGGTGCCGGCCTGCCCCCATCCCGGAATCCCAGAACCACTTCTGTCTCTGCAGTCCGTCCCCGGGAGGCAGCCAGAGGGAGCTTCTCAAGACAAACCTGAGAGTGCTTTGCACCTTTTATTAAAATGCCCTCAGGGTTCCCAAGAGAAAAAAGCCCCGTGTGACTGGCCCCTCAGTGTCTGTCCCCACGGCTCCTTCCTCCTCTGTTCACAACCCTCAGCCACACTGGCCTCCAAAAATGCAGATTCATTCCCACCTGGGGCCTTCTTCCCTGGCCGTCCTCTCTGCTGGTGGGGAAATAGGCCACAAAGGCCAGACACCACTGTTCAGTAGGAAAGCCCCCAGTGACCCTGGTCCAGGCATCTACCCTCCCTGGGCCCCAGGCTGCCCCCTCCTGTGCTGGACTCGTGCGGGGTGTGGTGCATGTCCAGGGTGCGGGTAACACCCCGCTCCCCAAGCACAGGACACAGATGGTGCTGTGCCCACAGCGAGCTCAGCCCACAGAACACCCCACCCTGGTCAGGCCTCCGGAACAATGAGACCCTTAGCCCAGCTCCCAGACCCTCCTCACTGCCCCACACCCAGGCCTTTGCCCCTGTGGTTGCCCTTGACTGACACTACCACCAGCCGATCCAAGACCTGCCCACCCTTCCCGACCCCGCTCAGGATCCACGCAGCATAGAATCCTAAAAGAAGCCCAGATACCAGAACCAGGTGGAACCTCAAGGCTCCCGGTCCTCTGCCCCTTCCGAGCAGCCACCTGGGGCTCACAGACAGGGTCTGCAGTCTCCCACTGGGGAGGGACAATCCACAGTCCATCCAGGGCTGGCAAATAGAGAACATAGAAACCCAGAGGAAAAACCAGGGTGAGGTCAATCTCAGAGGACCTCCTGGGGCAGGGAGACTTAGTGCTCATAGTGACAGGTATTTAGTGGACAAATAGTTATCCAGCACCTGCTATGTGCCAAATACTATGCCAGGCATGGGAACTGTGAACAAGATAGACATGGTCCTGCCCTCGGAGGGTGGGGGGAGGGGCACAGTGGGAACTAGACACAGAAATACTGTGGTGAGAATAAAGCAGAGCAGGGGTAGAGCATGCCCGGGTATCAGGCACCTGAAGTTATTTGGGGAGTGCATGAAGCCGAGGCCGTTTGATCTAACAGAAGCCGTTCTCAGGCAGAGCAGACAGCAAACACAAAGGTCCTGGCTGGCTCTGGGCTAAAGGCCCCCTCCTCCAGGAAGCCACTTCAGATGGCTTCTCCTGATCCACACTGCAGCTGCACTCTGTCCCACGAGCTCCGCCTACCTCCCCCTGGGGGCCCGATGCTTGTGCTAAGATCATCTGTTGGATAAACCAGGGAGAAGATGCATCCACACTACAGAGGAGTGGTCTGTGTCCCCAGTAGGCAATGGCTGGGTGTTCTTCATTCTGGCATCCCCAGTGCCCAGGGCAGTGCCGGGCATATAGCAGGTGCTCAGTAAGTGTTGAACAAGTGTGAAATAGGGAAGTGATGCCAGAAAACAAGGTCAATGATGTCTTTTCTCTGAGGACAAGGCTGTCCCCCCCACTCCCCTCCGTGCCCTCGTGCCCCATCTCCTGGTGGAAGGACACCCACCCTCAGTCGGCCTGTGGGGCCATGACTCCTCAGCCCAGCTGGGCCCAGGAAAAGGTTTCTGTTCCACTGGAGATTAATGTCTGTTCCTTTGTTGGATTGTCAGCGGTGCGTGGTTAGGGGGCAAACCAGAGCCATGTGCCCTCCAAGAGCGGCTTGGCAGTGGTCCTCCATCTTGGAGAAGGCAACCCAGCGAGGGGCTGGATGCAGCCGTGGGTGTGAGGTACGAGGAGCGAATGAGTGTGCAAGAACTGAGGGTTCTTACGTGTGCATATGAGGTCTGCACACATGTGTGCAAAGGCAGGAAAACATCTAGAGGAAAATGCACCAAAGTGATCTCTGGGAGATGGGATCCAGATGGGTTTTATTGGCTTTTATGCTTTTCAGTATTTTCTTGAGTTTTCTACACTCAGCGTGTGCTACTTTTAGACTCAGAAAAGAGCTAAATAAATATAAGTAGCTTTTTCAAGGCCATTGATGCAGAAGGCAGAGAGCAGGCAGGGAAGAGGCTGGTGAAGCCGGGCCTGAGGTGAGGAGGGGCGCTCTGGGGCTCAGGGAGCACAGGCGACCACAAGACGGACACTGGGCCACCAACCCAGCTTCCTCACTCGGCAACTCCAGTGTGACACTGACCTCCAGTCCCCTGTCTGGGTTCTAAGCTCCTTCTGACCCTGATGCTCCAGAATGATCTGTCCCCTATCCCATCCAGGGCTCAGGCCAGGAGGGGCTGGGTGTGAGCAGCAGGAGACACACATCACTGTAGGTGGTGCTTCTGGGCCTGGGATTCGGCATCAGGGGAGCCTGCCCACTGGAGGGGCCATCAGCAAGCTCCCCTGGCTGGAGACAAATGCTCACGGTTAGCTGCTGCCCGGGTAGGAGGTGAGACTCCAACGGTAATTTTCTTCAGTGCCTGCAGCGTACCTACACCGAAACGTGGGCAGAGGCAGTAAAATGCTGCTGTAGTGGGGCTGGGTCCTACTGGGGGGAGGGTTCACCGAATGGCAGAGTCAGGTGGAAGGTTGACCAGAGGTTGACCTGTCCTGACCCCTAGTGTCCAGCCAGATGGCCCCTAAGTCAGGATCTCAGCTCCTAAAGGACCCTGAATCTCCCTCCAGGCAAGGGCCTGCAGAGGCCTTTAAGAAAATCCCCTGAGGCCTGGTAATCACCACATCCCATCCCCTCCTCTGCCCACCCCTCCCCCATGGCCTTCCCCCCACCTCCTGGCAGAGGCCTTGGTCCTGCCACTGCTTTTACCACCGCCCTACCCACCCTGAGTTCTCCACCCAAGACGCTGCCCAGAGCAGCACACAGTGGAAGGATCAAGGGCTTTGGCTCAGAAAAACCTGGGTCCAAAGCGACAGGGCCAGGCCGAGGTGCCCTCCACCACGTTTCGGGGCCTCCCTCGCAGGAGGGGCAGAACAATTTGTAAATGCAGAGTTCCCTGTGGCTAGTGTCTGATGGCAGAGAAGGACAGACACACAGCAGGGCAGGAGACACAGCCACCACCACCACCTCCAGATGGCTGCTGGGCCTCACTCTAGCCATGAGGCTGAACCAAGTTCCAGAAGCAAACAGCTCACCCCAGCGGCGTGACCCACCAGCCACATCACCACGGAGCCTTCGAGGTCCCAGCCCTACGCTTCACCTGCCGGACGGCTGCACCAGGTGTCCTGGGGGAGGGGACTCTCCCCTGCATCCAGCCAGGGCCTGGTCGGGGGGAACGTGGCCCAATGTCAGACACAGCCTGGTGTCTAAGGTGGCAAGGGACACACAACCCAACCTCCTGGCCTATGGGACTCCAATATGTGCAAATATTTATTTTCTTCTCCAGGACTCTGGGGAAGAAGGAGGTCAATAGAAGGTCTCTATCTTCTGGGTCTAGCAGGGGTAATAAGCCAGGGACAGACAGGAGGCCCGTGGGCCTGGGCCTTGCGCTGGAGGACTGGAGAGAGGGTGGGCCACCTTAGAACCGGATGCGGTTAGCTCTTCTTCGTGGAGGACCGAAAGGTGGCCTTCAGAGGTCTTGAGAGCAGTTCGACGGATGAGGCAGCAGGCATGGGGGTCGCCCACCTCTGCACGATGTACTTGGGTGCCTGGGACAGGACCGAGGGGGAGGCCCGGAGGTATGGGGAGCTGGACAAGGCAGACTCCAGGAACCCGGAGTCTGAGGCTGTCAGGGTGAGGGTGTCGCTGACGGGGAGGGAGGTGGCTGACGAGCTGGTGTCCCTATCAGGATCTGGGTCCTTGTGGCTATGGTGGGCTGCCAGGTGGCTGTGCGGGCCCTGCTGCTCTAGAACGTTGTGCAGCACGAGGTCAGGTGTGTGGGTGGGTGACAGTCTGTTGAAGTGCAGGCTTTGGTAGATCTGAGGTGAAATCTGGGGGAGAAACAGAGCAGGGGAGTTTGGGTGTTTCACCCAGGACCAAGAGCAGACTCACAGGAAGCATGGGCCCTGGGGTCTTCCCAGACAAAAGAAGTCTCCAGAAGTTTCCAGAGGTTTTTCCTCTCCCCAGCCCGCTGGCACTGCAAGCTCACTGTGTGCCAGGCCTGGCACCTAGCCCTTCTCCTGGTGCTGGCAACAACACTTTGTGCTCAGCGCGGGACTGTCTTCATCTTTAGAATGACGCCTCAAGCAGGACCCGAGTGGGGCCCCCACCTCTCTTGTCGGCACTCACCAGGCTGCACTTTGAGGCCCATCTCTAGAAGGCGGGAATGCTGAGCAGCTCCCCTTTCTCACTGACCTCTCCCCGCCCAGGACAGAGGGGTTCTCTCGCTTCAAGTGCCCACCAGCGAGGGAGGAAGCTCTAATGGCAGACGCCTCTGGAGAAGGCTGGAGTGTGCCCAGGCAAGAGGCAGGATGGGACTCATAGCTGTCCTGCAAAATCCCCGGCTCCCCTTTTCTTTTCCCAAGGAGAGTGCCCTTCCATTCCCTCCATCCCTTACACGGCACCAGGAGACCCTGTGTCTGCTCTGGAGTGGCCCACGGTACGGAGGCAGACAACCAAACGCAGAGCCACAGACTCTGGGAATTTCTTTGAAGTCTATCAAAAGTACCAGGCCTATGGAGAACCTCCTCCCATAGGCCCAATGAGGTGTGTCCCCAGAGACAACACCTGTGTCCATGGCCTCAACCAGGGCCTCAGCAAAAACACCAGCCAGACCAGCTTCATCCCAGAGCTGCCTGTGGCCCAGCATTCTGTTAAGGGATTGACGCTCCCCTATTTCCGACTGGAGGGCCCTGTGGGCACAAGGGTGGCTGTGGATGGGCTGTCAATGGAGAGGGGCTCCCCAGCCTCCCGCACCAGCATCTCAGGGAGCAAGCCCCGCCCTGTCTCACCTGGTACTTCATCCAGTCATACTGCACGTGGGTGGACAGGAGTCGGGAACTCCGCGACCGGTCCTTGGGCTTGTACGCTGCTCCCACAACTTTGCTCATCTGCGGGCACCATGGGCGAGAGTGAAGCCTCGGGGCTGACCGGGGTGGGCCCCTCTCTGCCCCTGGGTCCCCCACGCAGCCTCACCTGCTTGCCCTTGGACTCCCACTTGCACCAGCTACACTCAATGTCTTCCGGGGAGCGCTCCCCAGCCCATGGGGACGTCTGGGTGATCTTCTGCAGCTTAGCCCACGCCTCAGCCTCCGCGTCTGCCTTCCCATTCAGGAGAGCCATGAGCACCACCTGCTCCCGCCGCTGGTACACCAGGGCCTCAGCCAGAGCCCGCTGCTCCCTGATGTAAGGGGCTTTCCTTCATAAGATGCCCTCACACCACAAGGCGGGGCAGCCTTCCCACGGACCCCAAGAGGGCTTCTCCCTCCTGGGCCCAATCCTCTCCCAAAATTCTCATCCCTCCCCTGAGGCCCTACTGCCTGGGGCCCATCATTAAACAAGTGTCCAGGGAATGTTAGCAAAGCCCAGATTAAACTGACCCCCGACAAGTCCTGCAACCTATCCTACCACCCTGTACTCTCCCCCCACCATGGAGGCCCGACACCCCATCTTGGCCTTACCGGGGCCTCCCCTTGTGAAATATTTAAACATTCTTTCCCTCCCAGGGAAACCCTGCCCCTGCCTTGTTTGCGAACCCCACACGGGACTGTAGAGACGTATGCCTTGACAAGAGGAGAGGAGCCCCAAGGACTGTACGGGTGCCTGGAAAACTCTTACTTACATATGAAGACCCAACTCCAAAAAATCTCTTCTCCTATGAAGCTTTTTTTACTTGATCCACCCAATGAGGTGACTGTCCTCTGAGCCATTCCTGTTCTTAACAGTCCCATCGCTTACCATATAAAACAGCAGCCATGAGTTTGCATGTCCATTTCCCCAGGGGGACTGTAAGTTCTCTGGGGGAGGACCTGTGTCTGGATTGTTTGTGATCTCTAGAACCTGGCACAGAGTCTGGCACTCAGCAGGACCTCAATAAATATTTCTTGGAATGACCCCAAATTCTCTGAGACTTGGTCAGGAGTAAGAGTGGGACATGGGTGGAGGAGGAACCTGGAAAGGAAAGAAGCTGCAAGCAGCAGCCTGACTTCCCCATGAATCAGGGAAATAACACAAGCATCTGGTCAGGACCAGAGCCCCGGGCACTCTCCTACCAGGGACCTCTAGCCACATAGAAATGGCCTCGGCAGGGAAGCCAGCCCTGGCTAATCTGGACCCGGCTCTGGAGCCAGGGCCCATCGAAGGGCTTGCCTTTTTGTATTTTCTGCTGGTTTGTACCATTCAAACTTGCAGCTGAGCTGGGCTCGTAGGCCGCAGTTGCCACTGGTATAAGTCAAGTTTCCTGTAGGTCCCAAGCCTCTGGCTTTCTGAGGGCCCTCCCCAAAGATGCCTAGCTCTACCCAACCCAGATGAGGCTGCCCAGGACCTGCAGGGAGGCTCCCGGCACCCCCCTCCTTGGGCCAGCAAAGACCAAGTGGGCTGGGATAACTCACCGCAGCTCTGGACGGAAGGCCTTCTGGGCAGCATCTGTAGAGTCAGCCTCCTCCTCTGAGCTTTTTCCCACTTTAAGATCACCAACAATCTGAATATCCTGCAACCTTTTCCAAACACTCAGGCCAAATGTCCCTGTGATTTAACCAGACCCAGCTCAGTAACAAGAACTGGTCTACTTCCCCTCTGATCCTTCTGCCCTTCACCCTCCACCCTCAAGGGTCAGCCAGAAACCCCTTACCCTTGGCCTGCACCTCATGATGCTTACCACATGCCAGGCATTATGCTGGCTACTCAACAAATACCTGAAGGAACCAGACACTAGCCCTAGAATATACTTGGAGCACAGGCCAAAGCATCCTGCCCCCCATATAGGCTGAGATGGAAAGCGCACTATGGTGATGACAGTGATCCTCGGTTGGGCTTACGTGGCTCATGTATAAAGTAGCAATGGTGCAAAATGATCAGGCATCCATCAGATGTGAGGTTGGGGAAGAACAGGGCTGGAGGAGAAAGCAGGTAGTGAGAATAGAGAAACATGAGTCCTGCTCTGGGCAGGGCATAGCTATAGTAGGCCATTCTCCTGCTGCAGAATTTTTAAAGATTAAAAAAATATAGTAAAAAAATCCTATTTTAAAAAGTCATCGGAGAGCTATAGAAGCGAAAAAGAGTAGATGAACTAAAATTACAGAAAGGGAAGAGTCCTTCCAAGAAGAACTGAAACTGAGGGCTGCTTCCTTCTCTGGGAGCATTTTCTGAGTCTGGGCATGGGCTGAGTAAGAATCAGGCTCTGCTTAGACAAAGGAAGCTACTGGAAGGAAAAGAAACCATCCAAGCTTCTGAGAGCCATTCTGGCTGGCAGGATGGATCAAATCTAGTGGAGTTCACATGCATCGCTGTGTTTCCCGCAGGACATTCGCTGAGCACTGGGGGCTCTGGAGGCCTGGAAGTTGGGCTACACAGATAGAATGAGGTTGTTGGGAGACAAAGTCCCACTAGAGGAAGAAGCCTTTAGCAAACACAACAAACTTCACCCTTGAGACAGACTTCACAATGGAAGACAGAAGAAAACTGAGTCCACCAAAATCGGCAGTCCAGACCCAACCCAGCTCAGTTTCTGACTGCAGTGAGATGAGCAGCCCTATACAGAGGAACGAGCACATGCACTGGAGGAAAATCATGCCAATGTCATTCTCTGTGGTTCTTTTATACAAAGTCCAGAAAAGTCTCTGGTTTCATTTTGGATTTGGTTTTAGTTTTGGTGGTGGTGAGGGGGTTGTTTTTGTTTTGGGGGGGTTTTGGAGGGGTGGATTTTTTTATGCATATAACATGTAAAAAGACAGGAAAGTATAACCAATAATGAAAAAAAAAAAAGAAATAGGCATTAGAATCATACCCACAGATAATTCTGACATTGGAGCTATGAGATAAAACTTTAAAATAACGATTATAAATAGTTAAATAAAATAACAGAAAATATGAACAAAGTGAAGGAGAAGAAGAATTTCAACAATGAATTGGATTCTATAGGAAAGAACCAAATGGGTATTTGAGGAAAAAAAAATACAAAATTAAGAATTAACTGAATGCAGGGCACCTGGGTGGCTCAGTCGTTAAGCGTCTGCCTTTGGCTGAGATCAAGCCCTGCATCGGGCTCACTGCTCAGCAGGAAACCTGCTTCTCCTTCTCCTACTCCCCCTGCTTGTGTTCCTGCTCTCACTATCTCTCTCTGTTATATAAATAAATAAAATCTTTTTTAAAAAAAGAATTAACTGAATGGATTTAATAGCAGGCTGCATACAGAAGAAGACGGGATTAATGAATTGGAAGGCAGGTCAGCAGAAAATAACCAAACGGAATGCAGAGATTGAAAAAAAAAACACAAAAAAACAAACAGAGAACAGAACAGAATAGGAGAGATATATGGGACAGAGTCAAATGTTCTAACATACATGTAACTGAAACCCCACGATGGGAGGAGAGGAAGGATGGGCAAAAGCAGTACTAAAGAATAATCTTTGACAATTTTTTTAAACTGATGAAAAATAGCAGCCCACAGGTTGAAAAAGATCAGTGAACTCTGAGCAGGATGAACACAAATAAAACCACACTTAGGCACATCATAGTCAAACTGCTGAAAACCAAAAACAGAGAAAAAAGAAAAATTACCATCAAAATATCAATTTATGGGGTATCTGGGTGGTTCAGTCAGTTAAGCAACAGATTCTTGATTTCAGCTCTGGTCATGATCTCAGGGTCATGAGATCGAGCCCCATGTTGGAGTCTGCCTAAGCGGATTCTTCTTAAGATTCTCTCCCTCTCCCTCTGCCCCGCCCCACCCCACCCCACTCACATACTCTCTCTCAAAAAAAAAAAAAATAAAGTATCAACTTAAAACTAACATTTCAAAAGAAAATATAGAAGCCAGAGATGATGGAAAAATCTTTTTTTTTAAGTACTGAAAGAAAATAAACTTCCAGCTGAGAATTCTATGCCCAGTAAAATAGTCTTAACATTTTAAGGCAAAATAAAGATGTTTTCAGATAAATAAAAGCTTAAAGAATTAAACACTAGCACAGATGCTCGGGTAGCTCAGTCGGTTAAGCTACTGACTCTTTTCTTCTTTTTAAGATTTTATTTATTTATTTGAGAGAGAGAGAGCGTGAGCAAGGGAAGGAGCAGTGGGAAGAAGAAAGTAAGATTCTTTTTTTTTTTTAAGATTTTATTTATTTATTCATGAGAGAGAGAGAGGCAGAGGGAGAAGCAGGCTCCCAAGGAGCAGAGAGCCTGATGTGGGACTCGATCCCAGGACTCTGGGATCATGACCTGAGCCGAAGGCAGACGCTCAACTATCTGAGCCACCCAGGCGCCCAAAAGTAAGATTCTTGCACAAGCAGTGGTATCAGGTCAAGAGTGCATATTATAATCTCTAGAGTAACCACTAACGAATATTATAAAAACATACAACTGAAAACCTAATAAAGAAATAAAACAAGGTAATTGTTTTAAAGACGTGATTAATCCAGAAGAAGGCAGAAAACGAAGAATAAAGGAACAAAGAGCAGAAAACAAATATCAAGATGATAGACTTAAACCATATAAGTAATTTCATTAATACTTGAATAGACTAAATATCCAATTAAAAGGCAAAGATTGTCGGGCAGGATGAAGAAAATAGGACTCAATATAATGCTCCACAAAAGAAGCACATTTAAATATAAGGATGGAGATAGATTGAAAAGCCATGTTGGCAAAAGGGTACAAACTTTCAGTTAGAAGATGAATAAGTTCGGGAATCCAATGCACAGCATGGTGACTGCAGTTAACAACACTGTATTGAATACTCGAAATTTGCTAAGAGAGTAGATATTAAGTGTTCTCACCACCAAAAGAAAAAAAAATAGTAACTATGTGAGGTAATAGATGTATTAATTATCTTGATTGTGGTAATCATTTCACAATGTACCCATATACCAAATCATCATGTCATAACTTAAAATGTCAACTTATTCAGTCTTTTTTTCAGTTTCCATTACTATGTCTTCATAGTCACTAATCTTTTCTTCTGTAGTATCTAATCTGCTATTCACCCTATCCAATGTATTTTTATCTCAGACATTGTTGTTTTTATTTTTTTTAAAGATTTATTTTTTTTTTTGAGAGAGCAAGAATGAGAGAGAGAGAGAGTACATGACAGGGGGGAGGGTCAGAGGGAGAAGCAGGCTCCTCGCTGAGCAGGGAGCCCGATGCGGGGCTCGATCCAGGGACTCCAGGATCGTGACCTGAGCCGAAGGCAGTCGCTTAACCAAATGAGCCACCCAGGCGCCCACAGACATTGTTGTTTTCAATTTCTAATTTCAATTTGGGTCTTTTTATATATATTTAAGTTCTCTCTTTAACAGGCTGATGTTTTCTTCTACCTTTTGTGACACATGAAGTATATTCATAATATTTATATACATTATATAGTATATGTCTATATTGTATTATATATAATTTATAATATTACAAATGCACTGTATATATTATATATAATTTATACTAATTTTGTATTATATTATTTTATGTATAATATATTATTATAAATTATACCTCAGGAATTACTATTCTTTGCTGCCTGCTGTCTAATGTCTGGAAACTGTTATATATATTTTGTTCATGCTTTTAGTCTTTTAAAGTGGGAATGTAAATCCGGTCCTTGTTACTGTGTCACGTTTGGAACCAACAGAAATGATAGGCAATAGAAATAGACCCAGAAGTGAACCAGATACTGGATTATCAAAGACTTTAAAATAACTTTGATCAAAATGTTCAAGAATACAAAGTAGAAGATGAGGAATTTCATCATAGAGAGAAAGAAATTAAAAATAGTCAGAAAGTTTTTACCCATATAAGAGCTGAAATGCAAGGAAATCTAAGTGAACTAATTCAGAAAGGAATAAGCCTTTGATAAGAGACAAGAGACCAAAGCTGCTTTCAAACCTGACAGAGTAATGAGAGGAGGATGAACCCTCTGTGGAGGAGGAGAAATCAGACGAGTCCTTAGTGAACTTTTAACAGCCTCACATGACATGACAGATTATAACCCAGGATGTTCCAGCCACAGGGCAAGTCTGCAGCTACCCACCAACCCTTTCCCTCAGGCCTTCACAGGGTTTATGGTGGCCATACAATGAAGGCTGGGGGCCAGGCAGAAGAGTTCAGAGATAGACCATGAAAATACTAAGTGTAAGAAAGCGTAAGATGCTTTTTATGTGATGGCTATATGGGTGTGTATTTACTTTCTGAAAATTCACAAGCTGAACCCTTTTGGTTTGTGTGCTTTTCTTTATGTATGTTATAACTCAACAAGTTTGTTTTTAAAAAGAGAAAGGAATGTGCCTTCTCAGATATATGATTTGCAAAAATATACACAGGCAAATAATTTCGGGTGGGCGGGTGAGTGGGTGGATGGACAGTTGATGGATGACTGAATAGACTGCTGAACGGACAACTGGAAAGACTCACATCCTGTGATACTATTTGAGCAGAGACAGCTTCTGTGGCCTGAAACCCAACCCCACAGGATATAAGGTTTATGCCAGCTTAGGTTCTAACAGGGACAGGACCATGATGGGCCATGTGGCATGGCTGACCTTCAGCAGGACCCATACCAATGGTGTCACCGGAGAGTTTCCAAGCCTTGACGTCACAGTCCTGGCCAGCACTGACAACCAGCTGGAAGCTATCCACATACAGGATGTCTGCCACACTATCCAAATGGCCCTTCCAGGAATTCAGAAGCTTGGGGGGAACCAGGGAAATGGTCTGGCCAGCCACAACCTATAAGGGACAGTACAGGAGAACTACTTATACTGGAGGCAGTCGAGCCCTCTGTAAGGATCCTAGGTCACAGTCCCCTGGCTCATGTCCCAGGGTTCTAGTTCTAGACATGTTCCCACATTAATTTAGGTAAGTCCTGGCACTTGTCTAGCCTTCACTGGTCCCTTTGGTAAAATCATAAAAAAGCATTTGCATTTGCTATATTGCTTACCAATTGCATCTATACAGATTATTCCATTTGAACATCATAACAACCTTAGAGGATGTGTGAGTCTCACCATTTCACAGAGGAGAGAAGTGAGTCCAAAGCCACATAGCTAGAAAGTGGTGAGGCTAGGACAAGAGCCGGGTCTTCTTCTAAAATTATTCAGCTGGGCACTGGGAATAGAACAGGGTGAGCAAGGGAGTGATAGATCACATTCACTATGAAAGGATGAACTCTACTTAACTGGAAAATGAGTAAAAATAACCAGGACTGTTTTAAATAAAACAATATTGAAAGGGATGAATTTTACCATATTCAAGTATGTTAAGTCACAATATAAAAATTTTAAACAGAACAATGGGAGATGACAGAAAGCTCAGAAACCAACATACATTTACATAAAACATCTGTATGTAATAGTGGCAGGAAAATTTGTGGTAATAGAGAGCATGACCCATAAAAAAGTGCTGGAATACCGGATAAACTATCAAGAGAAACTTCAACCGTTGTTGTGTTTCTTACAACTAAAGAAATGCTAGGGCGCCTGGCTGGCTCAGTTGGCAGAGCATGCAACGCTTGATCTCAGGGTTGGGAGTTTGAGCCCCATGTTGGACATGGAGCCTACTTAGAATAAACATTTTTTAAAAATTTAAAAAAACAACTAAAGAAACACTAAAAGGGTCAAAGAATTCTTTTTAATGAAACTGTAAAACATCTAAAAGAAAATAGGAGTATTTGGCTTACCTCTGAATAAGAAAGTGATTGACAATGGGAAGTACCACAATGGGAAGAAAAATTGGCTTGACCAAAAAAAAAATTATAATTTTAAAATCATCATAAATAAAATTAAAAGGCAAATGACCAATTGGGGGGAAATATTGGTAATACATATGACAGATAATAAGTTAATATTTTTAATATGTTTAAAAAGAATTATACATCACTTACAAAAGATGGTTACAATAGAAGAATGGACAGAGGACATGAAGAGACAATTCACAAAACCATACATGGCCAATAAAATAAGATGTCAACATCACTAATAAGCAAAGATATCTTATTAAAATCAAAGAAAACCATTTGCATCTAAAAATCAGCCAAAAGTTTTCTTTTCACTTCAAATATTTATTTATTGAACGCCTTCTATAAGCAAGGCACTCTATAGACCCAAGGAAACCTCACTCGGATGAATACCACTAATAATAAATACTTTATGCTGGCAAGGATAAAGGAAAATATTAGAAGTGCAAAACTATAAACTTTGGGAATGCAGTTTGGCAGTACACAGTAAAGGCCTTAGAAAGATTTATGTTGTTTTACATACTATTTCCATGAGATAAATTACCAGATGTGCAGATAAACAACTACAAATAACAACAACAAAAAGATTTGTGAAAAAGAAAAACTGCTCTATCATTTTTATAGCTTTTAAACACAGCTTTATTGAAATATAATTCACATACAATTTACCCATTTAAAGGGCTTGCTTCGGTGGTTTTTAGTATACTCACAGAGTTTGCAACCACCATCATGATCGATTTTAGGTCATTTCAGCATCCCACAATTGGTGTAAGTGGAATCAGACAGTATGTGGTCCTTTGTGTGACTGGCTTCTTTCACTTAGCATGTTTTCAAGGTACATGGTGCTATGGCGTGTATCAGTACTTGATTACTTTACTTATCCATTCATCCGTTGTGGACACGTGGGTTGCTTTCACTTCTTGGCTATTACAACTAATGCTGCTATAAACACCCACATTTAAGATTTTGTGTGGACACGTCTTCATTTCTCTTGGATGTATTGCTGGGTCATATGGTAACTCTATGTTTAACTTTCTGAGAAACTGTTAAACTGTTTTCCAAAGTGGCTGTACCACCTTATGTTCTTACCAGCAATGTTTGAGAGTTCCACTTTACCCACATCTTGGCCAACATTTATTATCTACAGCCATCCTAATGAGTGTGAAGTGGGATCTCGTTACTGTTTTGCTATGAATTTCCCTAATTCCCAATGATGTTCAACATCTTTTCATATATTTATTGGTGATTTGTATATCTTCTTGAAGAAATGTCTATGTAGATCCTTTGCCCATTTTTAGTTGGGTTATTTGTCTTTTTACTGTCGATGTGTAAGAATTCTTCAGTCTGGATACTAGTTTCTTATCATATATATGATTTGCAAATATTTTCTTCTATTTGCATGTCACCTTTTCCCTTTTTTAATGGTGTCTTTTGTAGGCTGAAAGTTTTTAAATTTGACAAAATTCAATTTATTTGTTCCTTTTGTTGCTCGTGGTTTTGCATCATATTTAAGAAATATTGCCTAACCCAGAGTCGTGCAGATTTCTCCCTATGCTTTCTTCTAAGAGTCTTATAATTTTAACTCTTCCATTTAGGTCCATGACCATTGAAGTTAATTTTTATGTATGTTGTGAGGTATGTTCTTCTCTATGTTATATGTTCATTCTTCTGATGTGGATATCCAATTTTCCCAGCATCATTTGTTTAAAAAGACTATTCTTTCCTCCATTTGATTGTTTTGGCACCTTTGCCAAAAATCAATTGACCATAAATGTGAGAGTTTATTTTTCCACTCTTAATTCTATTTCATTGACCTATATGTCTACCCTAATGCTGGTACCACACTATTTTCACTATAGCTTCAAAGTAAGTTTTGAAGTTAGGAAGTGTGAGTTTTCCAACTCTGTTCTTTTTCAAGATTTTTGAACTATTCTAGGTCACTTGTATTTCCATATGAATTTTAGAATCAGTTTGTAAAATAAGAAGCCGGGATTGTGATAGATTACACTGAATTAACTTGGCAAATACTGCTATATTAACAAGATTAAATCTTCCAATCCATGAACATGGAATATTTTTCCATTTATTTAGGTTGTCTTCAATTTTTTTCAACAGTGTTTTGAAGTCTTCATAATACAAGTTTTTCACTACTTTTGTAAATTCATCCCTAAATATTTTATTCTTTTTGATGCTACTGTAAGCTGGATGCTTTTTATTTCATTTTCTTGCCTACTTGCCCTGCTGGTAAAACATTAGAGGAAGTGGCAAGAGCAGACATCCTCATCTTGCTCCTCATCTTAGTAGGAAAAGTTTAATCTTTCACCATTTAATATGATAGTAGCTGCTTTTTGCTGATGCATTTTATCAGGTTGAGGAAGTTCCCTTCTACTCCTTCTTGATTGAGCATTTTTATCAGGAAAAGGTGTTGGCTTTTCTCGAATGCTATTTCTGCATCTATTGAGATGATTATGTGTCTTTTGTTCTTAATTCATGTAATATAGTGTATTACATTAATTGATTTTGGATATTAAACCAACCTTGCATTCTTGGGAAGTCTCACTTGGCCATGATATGTAATCCTTTTCATATGTTGCTGGATTCAATTTGCTAGTATTTTATTGATGATATTTGCATCTATATTCACAAGAGATGTAGTTTTATTTTCTTATGATGTCCTTGTCTGGTTATAGTATCAAGGTAATATTGGCCTCATAGAAAACTATTTGGCAAGAATTCTTGAAGAATTGACATCAATTCTTCTTTAACTATTTAGTAGAATTCACCAGTGAAGTCATCTGTACCTGGGCTTTTCTTTGTGGGAAGTTTTATTGCTAATTCAATCTCTTTACTTGCGATATTCAAATTTTCTATTTCTTTAGATTTTTTTTTTTTAGCCCACTCTGGTAGTTCATATCTTTCATATCTTTCTACCTTTATCCTTCAGACATATTTTTCACACATTTGAAACAACATTCACTATTCATTTTTGTGAATGCATACTACCCCTTGACCTAGAAATCCCACTTACAGGAATTTATCCTTCAGACATATTTTTCACACATATGAAACAACATTCACTCTTCCCTTTTGTTTAAGAACAAAAGATTGAAAACAACCTCCATTTCCCTTCAAAGGGCATTATATCATTACTATATCCTATGGCTGACTACACATCTATAAAGAAAAATGTACTCATATGCAAAGATAATACATCTCCAAGATATATTATGGAATAAGAAAAGCAAGGTGAGCACCAGTGTGCATGGCATGCTGCTTTCATGTAAAAATAAGGAGGAGATAACTTTATACGTTTCTCTTTGCATAAATAAATACTGGAAGAATCACCAAAAATCAATAGAAATGACACAAGAAGAACTGGTTTGGCGGGGCGGCGGGCGGAGGACTAAGAGTCCTCACTATAAGCCTTTTCCATTCCCTGAGTTTTTAAATCTTCACTGATGTAAAACATACATATAGAAAAGTGTACATGTCCTAAATGTACCACTGTACAAATTTTTACAAGCCAAACACAACTGCATGGCCAGACCCAGATTAGGAAACACTGTCAGCCCCCAAGCCCCCTCACGACTCCTTCTAGCCACTGCATGCCCCACACAAAGACAGTCACTTCTAATAGGGTACCTTGGTCTTGTCTGTTTCTGTACTTTGTATAGATGGATCTATAAAACTTACCATATATACTCTTTTAGTGTCTGACTTCTTTCACTTACATTGTTCAAATAATTACCCATTTTGTAATAAATAGTTGCAGACCATTCATTTCTAATGCCCCATATTATTCTGTACAGTGTGTACAGTGCAATTTATTTTTCCAGTCTATGCTGATGGGCATTTCAGTTGTCTCATATGCAGAGTTATTACAAATGGTAATTCTATTAATGTTTTTATTCATTATATTTTAGAGCATAGGCTTCTCTTGGGTATAAACCTAGAAGTAGAATTGCTGGATCATAGTGTAGACATATATTCAGTTCTAGCAATTACTGCCAAACAGTTCCCCAAAGTGATTATACCAATCTACATTCCTGCCAGCAATAGAAATTTCAGTTGACCTACACCCTTGCCAACATTTGGTATTGCCTATCTTTTTAGTTTTAGTCATTCTGGCGGATGTGTAGTGGTATCACATTGTGGTTTTAATTTGCATTTTCCTGATAACTAAGGAAAAGGTGCTCAACTTCATCAGTCATTAGGGAAATATCAAGTGATTTTCAAACTATGTAAATATATTACCTACTCAAGAAAATACACAGATATTTTCATTAATTTTTTAAAGATTTTAAGTAATCTCTACATCTAACATTGGGCTCAACTTACAACCCTGAGATCAAGAGTTGCATGCTCTACTGACTAAGCCAGCCAGCTGTCCCAAATATTTTCACTATTTTAAAAAGAATTCATGACTCCAGGGCCCTCATCGCAAAGATTAAAGCCCATGGAAGGGGTGTGTGTGTTCATGTGCAAGTGTATGCATGTGGGTATATTTGGTGTGTAGACTTGGGTTTTACTGGATAATGGTGACTTCTGGCTAACAAAAACTGTCCCACATCAACCAGACTACCTTGAACAAGAAACATGAAAGACTCAGAATCTTGGTAAGAGAACCATGGTCCCAGCTCATGAGTGTGGTTTAAATTCCCCCAGTAATCTTCCTACCTCCTTCTCCTCCAAGGGGATGTAGTGTGGGAGGTTGATCTGGACCCGTTCAGGAATTAAGAACTGGAACTTGTTTGTTCCACTGGGTTGAGATGACCACCTGTCAGTGAATGTGCAGTAATCCTTGATGTCCCAGATCTAGGCACAAAATGTGGGTTAGTGGTCCAGCACCCCTTGACACCAGCACCAACTCACACTGTGGGCCCCTCCCAGACTATTTCTCTTCACTCTGAGGTGTGAGCACTCACAGACACTCAGGGTCAGAAGGGGCCCTCGGGACCTTCTAGGCCAGACCCCTTAGCTGGCATGCAGAGAGGGTATGACCAGCACAAGGACAAGACATTCTTGCCTCATGTCTCACCACAAAGCATGAAGTCAGCTCCTGAGACAGGTGATCACAGAGAGATACACAGCTGGGGGTAAGGGAGTGGCAAGAAGAGAAAAATGGAGTAGGGAACCCACTGGGAGAGGCTTCTTGGACGGCCCTTTGGAGCCATGTCCTCACTCATTTCCTGGGCACACCATAGCAGAAGAGGACTTCTACTGCCTACCGTTTTACAAACAAAACCAGTACCCAGAGGGAGTAGGGACTAGGCTAGCGCCACACACAGCAAAGAGGGGCTGCTCAGAGCTTGGCTGCCACCAGCCCCTCCATCTCAAGCCAGGTCTTCCTCACCTTGATGTATCCTTTACAATCCCCTGTGACAAGGATCAAGTCTTTTTCATCCGTGGCCATGGCACCCACGACCACATCCCCCCGGCTTAGGAAGTCCACAGGGAACTTCCCCAGCAGGCCTCCACCCCCGTGGATGGACCAGGCATAGATGTGGCCGTCGATGCAGCTGCTCAGCAGGACGGCTACACGTGGCTGGCGAGGCCTGGTCTGCAGGAAGATGATCTGTGCAAGAGAGGCGGGCCCACTCAGCAGTGCTGTGAGCTGGGACTCACCCTGGCCACGGTCACGTGGTGCTGAGTGGCCTGGGCAAGTCACCACCTCTACCCCGCTCCCCAATTTCCTAGATGCCCAGTGAGAATGGTGACCATCTACCACCCCTCCCACCTAGCTGGTAACGAGGACCATTTTGGTGCACTATGAGCTCCCTGTGCACAGGGGCTTGTGTCATTTTTTGTTCACTATTTTATCCTCAGCAACTACAGTGGTGCCTGATATATGGCATGTGATCAGTGAATGTTGAAAAAGACATACAAGGGTGGCTCACTTGGTTAAGTGGCCTCTCGTGATTTCAGCTCAGGTCATGATCTCAGGGTCATGAGATTGAGCCCCGCATCAGGCTCTGCGCTCAGCGGGGAGTCTGCTTGAGATCTCTCCCTCTGCCCCATTCCTGCTGTCAGAAATTACAGCGTGGTTTGGGGCGCCCGGGTGGTACAGCTGGCTAAGCATCCAACTTGGTTTCAGCTCAGGTCGTGATCTCAGGGTCGTGATCTCAATGTTGTGAGATTGAGCCCCGCATTGGACTCCGTGCTCAGCACAGAGTCTGCTTAAGATTCTCTCTGTTCCTCCCCCTGCTCTCTCTCTCTAAAAGAAAGAAAGAGAGAGAGGAAGGAAGGAAGGAAGGAAGGAAGGACGGAAGGAAAGAAAGAAAGAAAGAAAAATTACAGTGTGGTGACTTGTGTGTCCCCAAAACATGTCGCCACCACCAAAAACTCTTGATTAACCCCATTATCATACATGTCCAAAACAAAATGCTTAACTTACTTCCTGATGGCCCAGGGGCCAGGGTCACAAAACCAGGAGTCCCTAAACCAAAAACAAAGGGCAAGCATTTCCCCCACTTTATGCAAGTATACTTGCACACAATGCAAAATGTGGACGGCACAGACAGATGAGAAGAAATTAAAATCACCCACAGAATTCCAATACCCAGAAATAATCACCATGAAGATCTTAATGCATTGTCTATAAAGACTTTTATCACATTTTTTAAGTTATGAAATATACATGCAAGAATAGACAAAAATACCAATGAAAGAAGAGACATCCCAGAAACAGAAGATTCTAATACTATATAAGAATGATAGAATCTCTGGTGCCTGGGTGGCTCAGTTGGTTAAGCGACTGCCTTCGGCTCAGGTCACGATCCTGGAGTCTCAGGATCGAGTCCCGCATCGGGCTCCCTGCTCAGCAGGGAGTCTGCTTCTCCCTCTCTCTTCCCTCTCGTGCTCTCTCTCTCTCTATCTCATTCTCTCTTTCAAATAAATAAATAAAATCTTTAAAAAAAAAAGAATGATAGAATCTCAAGCCAGTGGAGAAAAGATAAACTATGCAATAAATGGCATTTGAACAACTGGTTATCAATTTAGAAAAATATTTTTAGATTCATACATCACACCACACACAAAACTACTCAGATCAGACAGAAGGATGACTAAATATATATACAATTATAAATGACTAGAAAAAAACATAACAAATTTTTCTGTGATCTTGGGATAAACAATGCCTTTCTTCATTGTCGCAAAGAAAAATAATAAAGATAGCTAGACAAAAACTAAAATGTCAATGCAATATCACAAAGGCAGATGAGGTGAAACTACCTGCAAATACACAATAGGCAAAGGATTCACTTCCAAAGCATCTAAGGAGCTCCAAGAAATTAATGTGAAAAAGAACGGACAAAGGATATGAATGGATGTTTAATTCACTGAAGAAATACAAATGTCTAGGGGCACCTGGGTGGCTTAGTCAGTTAAGCGTCCGACTCTTGATTTCGGCTCAGGTCGTGATCTTACAGTTGTGGGATCAAGCACCACGTTGGGCCCTGCGCTGGGCATGGAGTCTACTTAAAATTCTCTCTCTCCCTCTCCTTATACCCCTCCTCCCCATTTGCACACACCCTCTATCTCTCAAAGAAAGAAAGAGAGAGAGAGAGAGAGAAAGGGGCACCGGGGCGGCTCAGTTGGTTAAGTGTCTGCCTTCAGCTCAGGTCATGATCTCAGGGTCCTGGGATCAAGCCCCACATCCGGCTCCCTGCTCCGGGGGAAACTGCTTCTCCCTCTCCCTCTGCTGCTTCCCTGCTTGTGTGCTCTCTCTCTCTCTCTCTCCCTCTCTGTCAAATAAATAAAAAAAATCTTGAAAGAAAGAAAGAAAGAAAGAAAGAAAGGAAAAGAAAGAAAGAAAGAAAGAAAGAAAGAAAGAAAGAAAGAAAGAAAGAAAGAAAGAAAGAAAGGTAAATGTCTAACAAACATATAGAAAGCTCAGTATTACAAATAAAGAAATATTTTTTTAAAAAAACTTCCACCTACCAGACTGGCAGAAATTAAGAAAAGGCTAATATCCATTATTGGCTTAGTATAAGGACAAAGGTAGACTCACACACTGTTGGAGGGAAGGCAGCTCATCACAGTCTTCTTGGAGAACAAACTGGCTTCATCCATCAAAATGTAAATTGTGCTCACTTGGTGACCCATTAATCCCACTTCTAGAAAATCTAGTTTAACTACACAGAAATATCTATAAGGATCTCAGCCGCACCATTGTTTATAATAGCAAAAAACTAGGAACAAGTTAAATGTCTATCAATTGGGCATTCATTAAATAAATTATGGCAAATCCAAAGAAATATATTGTAGTCGGGGACAGATTTGCCAGAGAAGTTCATAAAGCTTAAGGCAAAGTTCAAGATCAAGTTCAAGGCCCTTCCAAGGGAGGAATTAGCAACATGTGGTGACTGTTATAATTGTCAGTTGTAAATTTTAAAATTGTCATTTCTTTTGATTCTAAATAAATTTCATTTTATATCTAGTTTTTTATTCATAATTTTGTGTTATTTTTCATAAAGGGTGCCTACCAAATTGTATAAGTTTTAGGCTCAAAAAAGCATAGATTGGCCCTCTGTATGAAGCTATTAACAAGAATGGAGTAGATATATTTATATGTACTGAGAGGAAAAGCTGTCTACTCTACATTGCTAGGTTTAAAAAAAAAAAAAAGCAAACAGCTGAACTACAGTCTCAAATGCTCCTGGTCTTGTTTAAAAACCAAAACCATACCTCTGTATATATATCGCATACAGGCATATAAAAATAAATCTCAAAGAGATATTATTTATCATTTTTAAAGACAATTTTGTCACAAGCATACTCCAGATCATTAAGTATTATCTTAAAATGTGATTCCTCATACCTGCACAGGATTCACCAAAATGATGTGCCACAAAGATCTCCCATTTCTTAACTGGGGAAAGCTGAGGCTTCCTTCCCAACCCTTCCTGCAACAGTTCGAATGGGCAGGCTGAAGGGGCGTGATGGCCAGAGAGGGGTCAGGGCTGTGTGGTCAATGTCAGGAGTGGGCACAGAAGGATGCCCCGCCCTGGGCAGGATGGAGAAGGATCCATGTGGTTGGAAGGCAGGGAAGCAACACTATTAGTTTCGCACTCTGCACCTGGCCCCTGAGACCTCAAAGATAGTCCCCTGCCTGCTTTGGAAAGAGCTTCTGGACTGAGGTTGGACATTCCAGACTCACTCACCCCAGTGGTCCCAGACAGTTCTCAACAGCAGGGGGGACTAACGGTCTGCCTGGGACCCCTTCAGAAGAAGCTGAAGCTACACATGGACTGGGCTTCATGCCTTTTGGAGGGTTTTGCCACTCCCCACCCATCTCGTCCTTCACCACTAAGGAGAGGGTCAAGGACAGGGGCTTCATCTCTAGACTGTAATAGACACAGCTGTCCCTGGATCTGTGTCCTTGTCTCCCTCCAAGTGCCCTTTCTGCCCTCCCCCATGGTCTTCTGAGATGGCCGGACAGAAATGGTTGGCGAAGGGGACCTGGCAGGTAAAACTCCCCCAGGCGTCCTTGTCCCAGTCCACTAGGGAAAGGCTGGGAACCAAGGGGGACCCTCTCCAGGGCACCACCCCGAGGAGTTCCACTCTGTCTGCTGCCCAGTTCCCCAGAGGGAAAGGACTTGGCTGCTTCAGAAACAGTGGGGGTAGAAGACAGCACTTAGAAGCTAGGAAGAAGGATCAGCATCAGAAGTGGGCCAACCTCAGACAGGACCACCAGCTATACAACACATGCGTGCGCGCACACACACACACACACACACACCAGCCACAGTGCCTGAAATTTCAGCAATAGACATTCAGTCCTTTGTAAGTAATCTTCAAAGACTCTTGTCAAGATTCATGATACAAATCCTATTACACACAGATCACCAGTCCAGATAAAAAGCCCAAGGAATTCCCAATGGTGGCAGTACAAACAGTCAAGGACACAGACTTTGAAAACCAACAGATCTGGAATCAGGCCTTGGCTTGGCTATTTTCTGACAGTGAGGATTTGGGACAAGTCACTTCACCTCATTGAGCTTCAGTCTCTTTACCCAGAAAATGGGAATAATAATAGTATATACCCACCAGGGCTGCATGAGAGACAAAAATAATTCGTGTAAATGTTTAAGCTCACATCTAGCAGATACTCAGAGCCCAATAAATATTAACTGCTGCTGATATTATTATTAGGCTGGAATATAACACTACATATCAAAAGCTTTCTAAGAGTGCATTTCTTTTTTTTTAAGATTTTATTTATTTTTGACAGGGAGAGAGAGAGTGTGTACAAGTAGGGGAAGCAGCAGGCAGAGGGAGAGGGAGAAGCAGGCTTCCCGCAGAGCAGGGAGCCCGATGCAGGGCTCGATCCCAGGACCCTGAGATCACGACCTGAGCCGAAGGCAGACGATTAACCATCTGAGCCACCCAGGCGCCCCTCTAAGAATGCATTTCTAATCCTAGAGTTTTATGCCTGGGAAATAGATGAGAGATCCAAAATTCATGTGCAAAGATGTTCATGGCAATGTTAGCTACAAAGGCAAAACCTACAAACCTAACTGTCTAGCAGCAACAGTATCTAGCTAGATAGACCTGGTATCCCATATGCCAAAATGCCATGCAGCTGGTAAATGAGAGGCCATGGCTCCACAGACGCTGGCAGGAAGTGGTGCCATGAGGTGTTGGGTGAAAAAGAGCAAATTGCAGAGTAGCGTATATATAATAGGATACTATTTGGTGAAAAAATAGTTGGAGGTACATATATACTTTTGTACACGTATGTACTTGTATACTGCCCAGAAAAATGTCTACCAGGATACCTTAACAGTCATTGTCTCTGGAGACTGAAGAAGAAGGTAAGTCATTCTTTTATTTTATACGCTACTATAAGGCTTCAAGTTTTCAGTTTTAATGAAGGACATGTACCACTTTCTAATTAGAGAGTGAGAGTGTGTTCTTTCTTGAAGATTCCAAATAAGCTCTCCTGTGAGGGCCTTTGTATCTGCTGCTCCCTCTGCCTGGATCACCATCCTTCCAAACAACTGCAGCCTTCAAGCTCTGTACAAATGCCACCTCCTCCATGAAGCCCTCCCTGATCACCCTATTTAAACAGCCATACCCTCTCTACCTCCCTTGTCACCCCCCCGCCGCCACCGTTGCCTCACTTTTCTGGTTCTCCGCTGTACTTGTTCACCCTGTGACCTACCATTTATTTTACTCGCTGGTTAACTGTCTGTCTCACCCCAACTAGAATATCAGCTGCACGAGGGCACAGGTGTTTGGTTTTTTTCTTGCTGCCTCCCCAGGGCCTGGCACGTTTACATTAAGTAAACACTTAATGAATAACTGTCTGGGCCCTGAAGGGACTAGGTCACAGTCAAAGGTCAGGCTTTGCATCATCTACTTGGGTCAGACTCAGAGGCTGAAAGGGATGGGTTCTTTTGGGCAACGGCTTCCAGGAATCCATCCTCACAATGCACTTAACACAAGCTCACAGACGCATACGTACAAGGACGTTCAATGCAGAGCTGCTCATCAAAGTTAAAAACTGGACCCAACTACATGTCTATTAAGAGAAGACTGGCCTAATCATTTATCACTCCAAACTATGGGGCACTGGGCAATTATTACAAAGAATAAGGTAAGCTGACAAAAGAATAAGATGAACCTAAATTACGAATAGGAAAACATATCCATGCCATATAGTTAATTACGTTTTTAGAAAGTAAATGGTAGGACATGCTATGATTTTACGCCACTTATCTAAAAATAAAAAGGATAAAGACTAACCGAGGCCACCAATTCACTAGGCGGTGACTATGGCTGTTACAGCTAGTGGGGTGGAGTGAGTGAGACAATGGGGACCTTTATATTTTGCTTTATACACACTTCTTTTTTTCTTTTTTTACCAACTAGCATGACTACTTTTAAAAGTTTTTTTAAGGCTTTTTTTTTTTTTTAAGTAACCCCTATACCCAATGGTGGGACTCGAACTAACAACCGAGATCAAGAGTTGCACGCTCTACCTACTAAGCCAGCCAGGCGCCCCTAAGGCATTTTTTTAAAAGAGAGGAAAGCACATCCAGAACCTGGAGGAGAGACTGTCCAGCTGCTCACGGCTCTCTACTCCTCCCACCCCACCCCCAACGGGACCCAGCTCTGCAGGGCACTGCTCCCCAGTTCCCAAGTCCCTGGTGCCCTGGAGCTGGGGAAAGGGCCCATCCTGCCACACCCTAACACAACTGTGATGTGGATTTTCACTGGTAGGGATTTAGGGAACCCAAACAGTCTCTGAAATACCATATCTCTGCAGATCGAAGCTAGAAGGGGCCTTAGAGGTCACTTCATTTAGTGGTGACAACACAGTGAGGGGCATCCAGGGTCAGAAAGGGGAAAAGTGCAGGAGGAAGGGAGAAGAACAGAGATGACCCAATCCCTACTCACATGTTGTACGAAACACCCTACCATGGGAGTCTGGGTGGCCCAGTTGGTTAAGCGTCTGCCTTCAGCTCAGGTCATGATCTCAGGGTCCTGGGATCAAGCCCCACATCAGGCTCCTTGCTGGGTACAGAGTCTGCTTCTCCCTCTTTCTCTGCCCCTTTCCCCCAACTCGTGTGTGTGCGCGTGCACACACACACACACACACTCTCTGTCTTAAATAGATAAAATCTTAGAAACAAACCAAAAAACACCCTACCAGAGCACAGAAGGGCATCTTAACAGTGGGTTCTGGCAAATCTACTTCTCCTACCTCCCAGTCCAGCCCACCAACCAGGAGGGGACCCTCCACAGCCCCCCAGGCATACCCAAGGAGCTTCCCCCAACACGCAGCAGTCCTGAAGCCAGAATCCTGAGTGGTTCCTTCACCTGCGCCACGACTCTCCAGGTCCTGGGGAGAGCCAGGCTGGCCCCCGCTAGGCTCGTCGGCCCTGCCCTTCCCAGCCCATCCCCACTGTTCACGCCGGTTCACAGCCCAGACCCTGCCTAAGCGTGGCCCACCTTCTCCACCGACGCGTTGGATTGCAGCAGTATCTTCTTCTGGAATTCCCCTCTTTGAGCACCATAGGCCGTTCTTAACAGCTTGGGGCTTCCAGAGTGGACAGGTTTCTGAAAAGAAAAATGGGCCTCCCAGATCATCATGGGAGGATCTCCCTACCCTGTGGGGGAACAGAGACCAGAGGCAGATGCTGAAAGTACGACCCGCCCAGCCCGCCTCCGTTGATCCACTGCCCTGTGAAAGGGACAGTCGGGTGTTGAAGGGATCCTGTAAAGGCATTCCAGCGCTGGGGAGTCTCCATGTTAAACCAGCAGCTTCTGCTCTCAGGACAGAGACTTGAGTTTGCCTTTGTGGAAACCACCCCGCCTTTGTCCTGGAAAAAACCCCTGGCCAAAGGTGAGGATTAGGGCGTGTATAGTCATTGCTCTAGAAGATGTGAATGCAGTGGTGCAGCCTGATCCTCCACAGGTGGTCCAAGTGTCCTGTAATAAGACCCAGTGCGAACGTCTTACAGCAGAACCCGTCCGAGCAGCCCACGTGGGATCCAGTCTGCACTGCCTATGCCCGACAAGTGTTGTGTATTTGCGGAAGGTGGGGTTTCTCTTTCAAGCCTCAGTTCCCAGGAACCGGAATCAGGCTCAATTGCTGAAGCAGTTTGCTGGGCTCCCCCAGCCCTGCACAAGATATTTTCTTCACTGCTGCGAGTCAGAGGCCAAACCACCACCCACCCCAGCTCCATCTCCCTCCTCCCCTCAAAATGAGACCGTCAGTCAAGGCTGGGTTAATCTTGGGGCAGAGATGAGGGCTCAGAGGAGCAGGGAAGTAGTTTGCCTCTGTTTGGGCCTCAGACCACCGGACCCTCAGAGAGGCTGGGTGGGGGAGGTAGGCAGGCCCCGGCTGGCTCATCTCTTCCAGATTACACTCGCTGGAGGACTGACAAAGTAGCCCAGGAGCCAGCCTGTGATTCTAGGTTCTCTGGGTTGTCTTCCCTCCAGGTCTGCCCTCCCGGCAGCTTGTAGACTCTGGGAAGGGAGCATGCCCAGACTGGAGGCAGCAGAGTGGACTAGATCAGGTGAATCTAACCAGGGAGGTGAACCGATGGACGTAAAGGTACTCTGGAAAGAGTGCCTCCATATAAGAACACAAACACACGACAGGCCCCTGGGTAGCTTCCAGGGCTCGGCTCCCGCTCCCACCTGTGGGGGCGCAGGCCTCTCTGGCTGCTTGTCTCTGGGGTGCTTCATCACCGGGGGGGCCGACATCAGGTTCCGTTGCAGGTTGGCGTTGGCCACAGTCCTGGCTCTGGGGCCCGGGGGCTGCCCTGGTGGTCTGTGAGCCCACTCCTGGTGCTCCATGCAGGACTTGCCCGACCATAGGCTCTTGGCCAGGAAGTTGTCCACTTCTTGGACCTGTGCCAGGGAGACACCCGTCCCGGTGACACTGCAGTGTCCCAGAGGGACATGCAGGGCCTCCTCGGCCCAATGCCAATACCCAAAGGGGCCTCCAGGTGCCCCAGGCCTTACTCCCCAGAAACTGCATACCCTTAGAAGCATCAAACCAGAACTCATAACCCTGTCCCGGGGCCAACCAGAAATGCCCTGAGTGCCCACAGGCAGCACACCGCTCCTGTGAGGGACTCAGTCTCCCCATCAGTGAAATGGACAGTGGTTTCCAAATATTTGTGAGGTTGTCTGTAATCTTAAGGGAAGCTCTGAAGTGTAAAACAGGTAAAAAGCTGAACTGCTCCAAGAGAAGCCACTGCAGTAGCCTCTGAGCATCTCTCCCCAACATGTTTGGAAAATTACTGGATGAGGTGACCCCAAAGGCCCCTTCCAGCTTCATCTGCAAAGACAGCATGATTCTGAGACGGTGTGGGTTTCCTAAGTCCCTCGCATGAGCCCGGTGAGCCCGGAGCGGGAACACAGCCATGAGGAGTAAGATAGGAGCCGCCTTCGAGGAAAGAGTCATCTACTAGACAGAACAGGACCAGCACCATGGGCTCTCCGCTATCACACCACCTGGGTCTGGACTGATCACTTCTGGGCTGTGCAACCTCAGGCAAGATGCTTAACCTCCCTGTGCCTCAGTTTCCTTGTCTGGCAAATGAGGATAATTCTAGAAACTAGCACCCACCTACCTAGCTCCCAACCTCCTCCAAAAGAAGTCGTCACATCCCCTCTCCTTCCTAACCACCCCCACCCGGCCCTCCAGCTGAGTCTGACCCACAGCAGAGAGAGAGTGGGGGGTGCTCCTGTTAACCATACCTTCTTGGGCAGCAAAGGCAAGGGGCTCACAGAGGCGTTGAAATTGAGGATGGGCTTGAACAGGTTGACGTTCCAGAAGAGGATGTCCCCATTGTAGGAAGAGGTCCCGAGGAACTGGTTCTGGTACTTGGCCATGCTCAGAACGTCCTCCTTGTGGAAGGTGTGCCAGTGGTAGCACATGAGCACCGGCTTGGCCTTGTGGAGCCTACGCACAGGGCCAGAGGTGGGAGGGCGGGCGGCTCGGCCTTACTGCTCACCAGGGGCGGGAAACACCAAGGCCTTTAGATTCTGGGAGGCAACTTGGAAGAGGGCACTCAGGTTGGAGCTCTGCCCCACCAACCTCATTTACAGAGCACCGACTGTGTGCCCACCACAAAGGCCCTATCCTCGGGGCTTTATATAAACTAATCTGATGAATCCACCCCCTCCGGACAGCTGAGTAAGGATTAAAGAAGGGAAGCCATGGCCCTCAAAAGGTCCTCTGGAAAAGAAGAGGCCTTGCACATTCTGTTCCCTCTGTCTGGAATGTTCCTCCTACCCCAGCCCTTTGCGGCTTTGCTGAGAAGACCCTACTCCACCCACACCATCCTCAGATGAGCCTTTCCTGACCGCCCCTGAGACGAAATCAGATTTCCATCCCCTCCCCGTAGAAACCTGTGCTTCCTTCCCCCACAGCACTCAACAGACTTTATCATTATAAATGAAGTTATTTGATTAGCCTCTGCCTCCCCCTCAGAGGATGGAGACCCCATCATTCTTGTTTACAACCATCTCTAGCATGTAGCACAAAATCTAGAACATGTTAGCCTCAAGGAGTGGTGAATGAACGGACGGATAAGCAGATGAAGCACTGGACATTACCCGCCATGAATTTCTTGCTTGGTCTTCCAACGACTAGTGAAGCTAGGAAAGGGGGAACCCATCTGAAGTAAGGAGGGCAGTCAGCTGCCCTTAGCTACTCACACACACCCTTGCTACTCACATGAAACAAGTGATTCTCTTACTCCACCCGGTCACGTAGAACGCTTTGTTCATATGGACAATCCCACTAATCTATGGAAGATGACAGAAAACAGAGCCCTGAGGCACCTCAGAGAAAATGGCCCCGGGTCAAAGCTCTCCATGATGATGAGTTCCCTAGAGGCGGTACCACCATATATTTTTCAGAATGCTCTCACATCACATTATCCCGTTTGATAGACTCGGAGCAGGGAGAGAGTGTAGGTATCCATGTCCGCTCAATAGGGGGATCCCTGGGAGGGTCAAATAACTGAGTGATAGGGTCTGGACAGTACTCAGATCCCTGGCTACTCAGCCAAGGGCTCCTTCTGAACTGGTTAAAGGACTTTCATAAGAGTTAGTCATGGGCTCAGGTCCCAAAGTGGCTGGCTTTGCTCTCTATGCCATACCCCCAGACTGTCTCTAGGACCCTGGCAGACATTGCCGGAACAGGAGTGAGCATGGGGCTCTCCTGGCCCCACTGCTAGAAATGCTGTCCGAAACTCTCAGACCCGGGCTAAGGTGTGCTCATGAATCGAAAGAACAAGGGTAGCTATAGCACTTGCAGAATGCTTGATAAGGACAGGCACTGTGACCTAGCTTCATTTTACAGGCGAGAACACAAAGGCTCAGGCAGGCATGAAGGCAGGCAGTCTATGTGCCCAGCCTGAAAGGGGGGCCCCAGGCTCGGGGGCACTGTGCTCTGCATCTCCCCGCGGTGCCCCCCGGCCCCAGCTGACAGAGCAGACCGACCTCCAGGTGGTCCGTGTTGGGGAAGACCAGTAGGCATTCACCAATGGCGTAGTTCCACATCTTTACAGTGCCGTCCCGCAAACCAGTGAGCAGGCAGCGCTCCGATTCATCCAGGCACATGGAGGTCAGCTCCATCTGCTGGTCGCCGGCCACAGAGAACTCCATCGTCCGCCTACCCGTCGCCACCTCCCACACACTCACCAAGCTGCTCAGGCAGCCGCTCACCACCTGCGGGGGAGCAGACGGCTGGGGCTCCTAGAGAGGAGAGTGGCCCCACTCCCAAGGGTGGCCCCCACCTGTCACGGCTGGGGCTGGCCCAGCGCCCCCCTCCCCGTGATGCCCTGCCAAAATGGGCATCTAGGCCCTTCCTGCTGCCCGGTAAGGCCCTCATGAAGACAGGCCTTCCTTTGCTCAGAGGAGTGAGGCGATCCCCCAACCAAGTGGTGGGGCTCCCACCCCACCTCAGGCCACCGGCCCCCCTGTAGGGCTGCTTCTCATCCACGTGCCGCTGCCCCCACGCCACCCTCAAAGCTATGAATCCTCCCCCCGCACCCCGCCGCTGTGCTGACTGCTCCTTGGATGCAGCTCTGGACCCCTTAGGGGGTCTGGGTCCCGCCCGAGGTCCCCTGGCCCTCCTGACAGCCTGAGGCATGACCGGCTCCAGCCCACTCACCTGCTTAAAAATCTTGCTGTAGAGGACGGCGCACACGGGTGAGCTGTAGGTCGTGGTCTTCTCCCCTGTTTTTCCTGGCTCCTCGGTCTCCAAGTACCCTTTGAGGATCCCAATCTATAGGTGAGGAGTGAGGCCGGCAGCTGGGCAGTCAGAAGGGCTCTGCCCCCAGTGACTGGCCCCAGGGAGAAACTTCCAATAAACTGCAACATCAAACGTCCTGACTGCACACAAACCTGAGCCCAGTGAGGCCTCTTGGCTCCTCAGCCTGCCTGCTGATACCTCTCACGCCTTCTCCTTGGGAGTCCAGTGTCCCTCATAACTCCTGGGAAGCTTAAAACATCAGTCTAGTGTCCCCTCCTCCAGGGAGCCTTCCCTGACCACACTAGGCTAGGGATCCATTCTCTGTGCTCCCAGAAGCACCTGGCATACATCTCCATCCCACCACGGAGCATTTTCTACTGTCATTCTCTGTTCTCCTCCTCCCTCCTCGGTTCCTTGAGGGATGGGGCAGTGTCTAATGAATGCCTTCTCGGCTCCTGCCCGGGAGCGGGGGGCTCACTCCCTTCCACACAGCACTTACCGAATAGGTGCTACAGATGAGACTGTCTTCACTCTTGTGGAAGTAGATGCTGGTGATGGGGCAGTTCCCCAGGGCAAAAAGCTTCCCACAGAAGGACTGGAGGCATATGTAGTCCTGCATGTCCCACACGCGGATATTCTGGGGGGTGAGAAATGGGCAGAGAGGCTGAGAGTGGACTCGCGGGGAGGCAGTGGGTGCCTGAGGCCTTGGGGTTTGAGGTGGGCCCACACAGTGCAAGTACTTCCAACACACACCTACTGCGCAGACGCCAACCGTACCACAGAGATGCTGTTCTTATGCTCAGATGAGGAAACCGAGGCTCCCCCCCCCCCCCCCCACCCTGCTGGAGTGGCTGCCACTCAACAGCTGAGGATGAAGACCAAGCAAGACAGCACAAGCCCCTGCAGACCATCGCAGGCTCCCCCTCCAGCCTACCTCAACTAAAGCCAGGCACCGCACACAGTGCCTACCGACAGGGTTGCCAAAAAGCCCACCTGTCCCCACAGCAGCCCCCTCGAGTTCATCCCAAGTTGAGGAACCCACAGAAGTCCCTCCAGGATGTCCGTTGCTTGGAGACATCAGCAGTAAGCAGGAAAGGGCATGACTCCAATCCATAACCAGCCTCTGCCCATCGCCACTGTGAGGATTTGGGCTAGCTCGTCCCGGTCCCCCGCCCCTCCAGCCTCAGATCCTTCAGCAGACGCCAAGACACCCAATTCTTGGGGCTACTGGGAGAAGTCCAGATAACAGAAAGTGTGGGTTGTGCTGGGGAGGGTGGCCTGGGTGACCCAAGGGTCCTGCCAACTCTCAATCTACTGATTCCCAGAAGACACAAATGTGTGCCCTGAAGGAGGACCCCTGGAGCCATTGGCTGCATCCCCACATTGGCCAGAACAGCCAAGCAGCCCCGCAGCTGGGGCGGTACCCTGAACCAATCGGTGCAGAGGCGCAAAGTGACAGGCCCAGAACTAGAGAGTCCCGGGCGCTGGAGAAGGTCTGGTCAGGCCCCGAGAGCCAGGGCAGCCGAGAAGGGGTCACTAGGAGAGCTGGGGGGGGGGGCAGGGAGTGGCTCACACGTATCGCACACCTACTGCGTGCCAACCGCAACACTGCCACTTTCCCGCCAGTCCTGCTGTAAACCTCTCAACCACCCATCCTGTGGATGAGGGGACTGAGGCTTAGAAATCGGAAGGGCCTTGCCCAGGCCCACAGAGCAAGAAACCAGGCTGGGCGACATGGGAACCCAGCTCTGGCAGACTGCTCAGAGTAGGGTGCAGGACTCCACTGGGGGCTGTCAGAGAACCCCAGCCCCCTCATGGTGACTCCACCTGGGGCAGCCAGGCCGGGTGTGGAACCATGGGCAGGGAGGTCACACCATCCCCCTGGGCCTCAGGCTACCGCCAACTGTGGCCCCTGGCCTGGCCGAGCTACGTGGTTTTCCCCGGGGCCATCGTCTCTGCCGGGGAACAGGAACCCGTGCGAGTGGAAGAGCTGTGCTCCATGAGGACAGCACCTTGTCCTTGGAGACGCTGAGGAGGATGCTGCTATTCTTACTGTTCACCAGGATGTGCGTCACAGAAGTCTGATGCCCCTTCATCATCCACACGGGCTTTTTTGAGAAGAAGGGGTTCCACAGGCGGATGAGGGGGTCATAGCCACCGGTCACTGGGGTCAAAAGAACGGGTGTCAACCATGGAGGGCCTATGCTGGGATCTTCTCCTGGGACCAGGCCCTGGACCCCAGGCAGGCGTGGCAGATGGGGGGTTGTGCTTATCATCTGCCCCTTTGCCCCTCCTCCTCCACAGCCTCCCCCATCATGCCAAGCAGAGCCTGTGTCACCACACCGCCCCAGGTGCCCACGGGCTGCGACCAGAGTGGCGGGAGAGGAGCCCGGACAGAGCCTCCCCCCACGTCCCCAGCAGCCTTCCCTCCGGTTCCACCAGGCCTGGGGTTTCTGGGGGACATGAAGATGACTTACCCACTAAGTTCTTGTCTGGGCAGTAATCAAAGCAAAGAATCCCTTTTCTTAAGTTCAGCACTGAAAACCTAGAACAGCAAAGGGCGAAGGCTGCGGGCTTGGAGCGACGGCCGCAGGGAAGCCAGGGGGCAGCCATTACCTCTCACCCAAGGACAGGAGCAAGCGCAGCAACCCAGGGTTCACCCCGCAGCCAAGTCGGGGCGGAGCACCACAGGCAGGGCGGTTGCGCAGCCCAAAGCCAGCAGCTCGTGGAGGAGGCGCCCCCCTCCCACCTGTAGGTGAAGGCACCCCCAAAGCAGGAGCAACTCCTTACAGCCGTAATACATTTAACTTAACTTGATCCTCACTTCAACCATACTGAGACAGGCATCCCCTGACCCATGACACAAATTTTTAAAAATGAGGGGATTCTAAAGGCCAGGAGAAGGGGAGCTCCTGGGTCCTGGTGCCCCTGCCTGTTCTGTGCTGGTTCCCGTGCTGGGTGCTGTCTCATGCATCATCTGGAGCCTTCATATAACCCTAGAGAGTGTCATTAGCCCTGTGCCACAATAAGGACATGGAAAGCAGAAATTAAGGAGTTTGCCCAAGGCCACAAGGCTGGCAAGATGGGGGTGTCAGGATTCAGACCCAGGGTGGGCATGGCAGGAAGAGGCAGGAGGCTCAGCTGCCAGTGCTCCAGGAGAGGAACAGGTGCAGCCGGGTGGATGGGGCTCAGGAGGGCCAGGGTGGCCCAGGCAGGGGTCTCGGGAGTGTCCAGCCTGAGAGTACCGGAAGCTCTGTGCCTTGGCACATGCTATTCCCCCTTAATCCATACATCCTGCTCTTCCTACTCAAACTCTGCCTTTGAAACTCAACTCAGAGGCCCCCATTGCAGGGCACCCCAGCCCTCTAATGCAGCATGCCCTCCACAGAACTGCCCCTGAACTGGCTCCTTTATCACTCCCTGGGGGCCTAACCCAGTTGCCTAGAGGTCATCCTGAAGGCTCCCTCACCAGCGTTCCCATTATCCAGCTGGGCCCCGAACCCTCGTTGCCACGTCCCACCAGAGCCCTGGCCTTTGCTCAGTTTAGACCCCCTTCATCTCTGCGTCAGCCTCCCAGCAGGTCTCTTAACCTCCAGTCTTGCTCCCACTCCAAATCCACTCTCCCTTCCACCGCCAGAAGGATTCCTCGAAAAACTGAAACTTTCAAGAACATATCAAATACGTGTATCTCATTTATTGTCAAACCAGATACATCTCCCTCCATGCATATATGCACAGAGAAATCTTCTGGAAGAATGGTCACCAAAATGTCACTAGAAATTATTTCAGGCTGATTCACTCACTCATGCAACCAAGATTTACTGGCATCTACACCCTTCCGGGATTACCAGGGGCATAGAGAAGATGCCCCTGCCTTCACGGAGTTTTCCTTCCAGAGGGAAACAGCAGGAGCAAGTAAGTGAACAGAGAGACAAAGAAGATGGACCTGTGCACATTGGGACAGGTCCTGCAGGGAAATAAACAGGTGGCTTTGACAGGGTAGCTGCAGGAGACCAGTCTGCAGATGGTTGCTGTGTAGAGAAGGGACCAGAAGGTCAGAGGGGATGAAGGGAAGAAGGCCATGGCAAGCAGTTCAGGTGGCTTTGACTCAGTGGTGGGGGCAGAAGTGAGAGAAGAGGGTAAAGCAGGGGAGACGCTGTGGATCAGTCCACACACCCAGCACAGGCTCCCTCCAACTCCACCCTGGCTCCTTAGCTCAGATTCACTGCTGGCTGCAAGCATCTGAAGAACTCAGCGCGTGCTGGCTGCCAGGGAGCCAAGCTCTCAGGCCCACAGTGCCTCGGAGGCTGAGGCTGACTCTAAAGGCAAAGTTTGGGGGTGACAATGCCAGACCCCTCCTGTGGAGGCCATGCCCTGAGAGGTCCTTGCCAGGAACTAAAGACCAGCAAACAGTCAATGGTGCCACCTGCCGGCTGGCAGGTGTACTGCATGCAGACAACCCGAAGGGTCTGCGTGCTCTCATGGGTATAAATACATTCTCCAACCTGCCTCCAGAGTGTATCTCAAATCCTTCCATCTCATCTCCACCGGCTGATTCCAGGCCATCATCATAGGCAGCCTGAATTATTACAATGGTATCATCACTGGAGTCCCCATCTCCACACCTGCCCACTCCACTTGCAACAGAGAAGCCAGAAGGATGCTCCTACACATCAAACCATACCATTCCTGTGCTCAAAACCTAAGAATTTGTTTATATCTCTTACCAAATAATCGTAAAAAGATATGTTAGAGACAACTGGGGGGAGATTAACTTGGACTAGGTACTAGTAATATTAAAGTATCATAGTATTTTCTCTACTTCTGTGTGTTTAAAATTTTTGTAACAAAAATGTTTAAAAAATAAAAACAAAGAAGAAACAAGGGCATACTGGGTGGAAAGGAGCAATTCAAAGGCCCTGGGGCAGGAGCATACCTGAACCACAAGGGGGCCACAGGGGGCTGGAGGAGGAAGGTAGATGAGGTGAGATTAGGAAGGCAGCAGGGACAGACCACAGAGACCCTCACGGCCAGGATGAGGTGATCCTGTGATGTCCACCTGCCACTGAGACCCAATAAATAAATAAAACAAGAAGCTGAATAAAACACGTATCACAGACATGAGATAATACTACCACCAAAGCAGAGAATTGAGCCTCTGCTGCAAATCAGCTCCAAGCAAAATCCCACCACACTGCCTCACTCAAGGCCTGGAAGCCAGGACTGAAGCTTCCCCACGGCATTAGGCCTTCTCCGGGGCCCCTTCTGCAACCAGCAGCTAGTTCCAGGGGCTTGGGTGGGGATGTGCGCAGAGGACTCTGGCTGGCAAGATACTGGAGGTACAGTGAGGCCTGGGACACGTCCCCTGCTCAAAGGTCTCAGGTTTCCAATCTGTAAAATGAGGAGTGGGACCAAATTAGCCCTACCATCCCAGGACAGGAACAGACAGAGAGAGATGGGGCCTAAGTGGCCCTCAGTCTTCCCGCTGTGCCTCACCCAGCTGCTCCCCCAAGAAGACAGGGGGGTGGTGCCGTTCATGGTTCAACCTGCCCAGGAGCAAAATGTCACAGACCTGAAGGGTCCAGGAGGTAAAGACCTGCCGCAAGAAGGAAATAGGAGAGGCAAAAGGAAAAAAAAAATCCCTCAGGAGAAAATACCTACTGTGAAATGCACGGTGAAAGATACACATGAGGGGCACCTGCGTGGCTCAGTTGGTTAAGGGTCAGACTCTCGATTTCAGCTCAGGTTGTGATCTCGGGGTTGTGAGATCGAGCCCCACATCGGTGTGGAGCCTGCTTAAGATTCTCCCTCTCCCTCTGCCCCTCCCCACCTTCTCTCTCTAAAAAATTAAATAAATAAAAATTAAAAAATAATTTTTAAAAAGGTACACATGAAAATGATAGAAGTGAGACATTTGAGAACGGGGTGAGACAGTGGGGATTGGGTAAGGGAAGGATTAAGGCTTTATTTATTATGTTTTACTTTTTTACAGGGTCAACCTACGTACATAGACTTACTAATGTGACTAATCACTGATTAGGAAGGAAGGGAGGGAGGGAGGGAGGGAGGGAGGGAGGGAGGCAGAAAAAAATCCACTCTGGGGTAGTGGAACCTGGAATAAAGGAAAGAGATCAGAACCATCTCCAAAGAGTAAGTGCTACCAATTATTGACCATATAGCACAAAGAGCAGTCAGCTCTGGCACAAGGGAAAGAAGTACTGCTGTCACCCCCTTCTACAGATGAGGACACTGAGCAAGGGGCACAGAGGTAAAGCAACTCGCATTCATTCCTCCATTCAGAAAATATTTTTCTGACTGTCTGCTTACCCTATGTGCCAGCTTCTGTGCTGAGTTTTGCGTATAAATTGGTGGATAAAAGAGGCTTGTTATATTTTTGTTGCTGGTAGCAAAGATTAAAACCACACTCCATAAAAGTTCTCGGAACCCAGTGAGATCCACAGGATGCCACTGTCCTGGGGGCGGGCCCACTCTCAGTGGGGATGGCCACAGATGGCTGAGGTGAGGCCAGACCCTCCGGGGCACCATCCCATCACCCCCCGGCCAGCCCCCCCCCACCTCCAGCCTGGGGAGAGGCGCTCCTTACTTGGGGCTCTCTGGGGCTTTGGACGGCAACATGGTCAGCACCAGAGAGGACTTCTCAATGGCCGAACAGGAGGCCACCGTGTTCAGCTGGGGGATGAACTTGACCTGTTGGCACCAGTTGGGATGGAGAGCCTGGGAAGAGAGTGGCAGTGGTAGGGGCTGGAGCTCAGCACGCCTAATGCCGTCTAGTGATTGCAGTTCTGACACGGCCACACGGTCCCCCGGTCCTGGGCCATCACTTGTCAGTGAGACAGGGGAAAAGCACCCAAGTCTGCTATCACGGGAACTCTTGCTTGTAAGCTAGAGAACAGGCGAAGTCAGCCCATGTGACAGCACCATCTGCCACCCCATCCCGCACAGGAGAAAGGATAGATGGGAGTCAGCCAGGCCCGCAGTCGCTCTTATCCACAGGGATCCCCGTCAGAGAGGAGAGAGGGGCTTCCCCGCCCCACCGCTGCCCTCTGTGTTTCAGGACATGATTTGGAGTGTGTGCGAATGTTATCTGGTGCAACTTGAACAACAAAAGGCTGAGACCCAGCAGTCAAGGGGGTGGCCTGACGGCACGGGCCCTGAATTCTCTAGCTCTGGCTCTGCAGTTTGGCCCTGTGCTTGGCCTCACAATCCGGGGATTCTCCTCTTCAGGACAAGAATGGAGGGGGTTGTCAGGCACTGAGCTACGTTTTCAATGCGCTGCCTCACTGAGTCTCTCTCACGATGAAGGCACCGAATTCAGGGCACCGAACAGAACATGGGACACTTAGCAACTGGGGTGGAAAATGAAGCCCAAGATGAGATTCCGACAGAAGATGGAGAAAAAGGTATTTGTGAGTGACTCCCCTTGAATGAGTCCCAGGGAGACCCTAAGTGCCTGTCCTTAGGAGCTGCCAATCCCATGAGGGTGACAGGACGAGAAAGCAGTGGGTGGACAATACAAATTTGGGAGGAGGTAAGCTGTGTTAGTGTGATTTACAGTAAGAAATGTATATTTGGTCTTCATGCCCATTTCTGGCACAGAGCTCCTAAAACCCCTGGAATATCCTAAGTGATAAGACAAAGGTGTCTTAATATTCGTAATGAACCCCTTTCAACCACACCTGAGTTTACATTAATGAGGTGACTTTTGAAAAGCCCCTAAGGATGGGGACTGGTTGCCAGGGGAACCAACTATGAGCTCGGAGGGTTGGAACTTTCAGTCCCACTGCCCTAATCCCTGGGGAGAGGAGAGGAGCTGCAGGTTGAATTGACTGCCAATGGCCAATGATTTAATCAATCATACCTATGTAATGAAACTCCATAAAAACCCACAAGGACAGTGTTCAGAGAGCCTCTGGGCTGGTGAACATGTGGAGGTGTGGGGCGAGCCTTGCACCCAGAGAGGGCAGGGACACTCTATCCACCCCCCCTTTCCCCATACCTTGCCCTGCATCTCTTCCCTCTGGCTGTTCCTGAGTTGTAGCCTTTTTTAATAAACTGGTGATCTAGTAAGTAAAATGATTCTCTGAGTTCTGTGAGCCACTCTAGCAAATTAATCGAACCCAAAGAGAGGGTCATGGGAATCTCTGGTGGGTCAGAAGCACAGAGGACAACCTGAACTTGTGACTGACCTCCAAGGGGGCGGGGGGCGGGAGGAAGCAGTCTTGTGGGACTGAGCCTCAACCTGTAGGATCTGATGCTATCTCCAGGTAGATAGTGTCAGAACTGAGTTGAACTGTAGGTCACCCAGCTGAGGTCCAAGAATTGCACAGCAGTGTGGGAAAAACACATTGTCACTGGTGTCAGAATCCTATAAGCACTGCAGCAGGAAGAGACACAGGCAGGGGCAGGCGGCGGGGCTGGTCCAGGCTGGCTGGTGAGGGCCCCAAAGGAAGCAGAGAAAGGGGCACACAGGAACCTAGGGAAGGGAACAGAGTGTGACAAGTCCCTGTGGTGGGAAAAGGCTTGGGGTGTTCAGAGAACAGCAAGGTGGCCTGCGTCTCTGCATGGGGTAAATGAGAAGAAGCAAAGTAGCAGGCAAAATGGAGAACAGGCCAGGAGCCAGGTCACCTCATGTACTGATGGTCATGGTAAGATTCTGTCCGAACACAATGAGAAGCTCCCAGGGGCGGGGGGGGGGGGTAGGGCTCTGAGCAAAGAAGTGACATGGCTGTTTCTAGCTCCTAATTCCCCTGGCTGCTGACTGGGGCAAAGCACTGCATGGAGAAAAGAAGTGCAGAAACAGCTAGAAGCTGCTGCAGCCGTCCAAGTGTCTGCCAGGACCAGGCTTGAGCAATGGAGGTGGTGAGAGAGACGAGCCATGCAGAGGAGCCACAGGATCCAACAGCGGCCCCCAGACTGCTCCCAGTGACCAAGCCCTGAGGCCTGAGACTGAACCCAGCGGGAAAACCCACTTTCTGTACTGATTTTTGAGTGGTGAGTGTGTACAGATAATTACCATCGTAACAGGCCAAGGAAAGATACAACCTACCTTCAGCTGGTAACTCCTATACAAAGGGGACTTTTCATTTAGGAGCTTCCGTGCAGAAACTTTGGTCCAGTGATCTGATAGGAGAGAAAAACCGAGGTCCACATCACCAGCTCCCGGCCTTTGCCAGATCAGCAAAACCCCAGAGGACACCTTGAGTTGGTTTGCGACTCCTGTATGTCTCAAAAGGCTTTTCCATCCAAATGCTCGTTCAAGCTTTACCACGTTCTGGTGGATTCGGAGGGGTGAACTCAACACCCAAAACACAGACCCAGGCAGATAAACACTGCTGCCTGGAGCCCCTGTGCCTGTGCATGCTGAGCTGGCCCTACATCCCGGGCTCCTCCCTCTCCCCTGCATACTGCAATCTACACAAGGTGATTCTCATTCAGGGAGCTCCAGCTCTGCCGGACTGGAGAACCAACTGAGACTATAGGCTCTACTCTTTCTGGAAAGGATCATTTGGAAGTTTACCATCATGCCTCAAACGACATGCCCCACCTTGTCCAGCAAACATGCCTGGAGCAACTGCCCTAAGCACAGCCTGGCCCTTGCGGTGTTTATAGAGTCTCCTGGCCTCCGAAACCTCCCAGGGCCAGCGGCCGGGCCAGGGAGCCTCCAGGGAAAGGCCCCTGTGCACAAGGAAAGGTTTGACACAGGCAGATGGAGCCAGTGGTGATGGAACAAGCCTGGGTCTGCCTGCAGAGCAGGGTTTAAGGAGGTGGGTCAGAAGGATGGGAACAATCTGGGCTCAAGTCTGAGAGAAACTCCCAGGTAAAATGCAGAAAAGAGAGGGGGACCTAGGGGCTTATGCCAAGCATTTCACTGCTGCAAAGCCACCGGTCTCATCTGGCAAGGGAAGTGCCAAGGGGTGGAGTGTTGCTGAAGTGGGGCGGGCCCTTCAAGGGTGCAGGAGGGAGAAAGCTGAGCCAGGGCTGCAGTGCAGTCTTGTTTGCCTGTCTGCCTCTCCCATGAGGCTGAGAGGGCCCCGGGAGGTCAGGGGAGGTAGTCACCTGGCCCTTACTGTGTGCCTCACACTGCATGCTCTCCTTCTACCTTACAGAAAAGCCGTGAATTGAGTCTGCTCATCCCTGTTTAATAAGGGAACTGAGGTACAGAGAGGTTAAGCAATTGGAACCAGGTCACACAGAGGTGGTCCGTCCACCTCCTCCCAAGTCAACACACAGGTGGGCCCACCTTCGTGTGTGACCCAGCCTTCAGGCCACATGTGGCATGGAAGGCCTCCTTCCTACACTCCAGCTTCATCTGCACCTGCTCTGATCTCCTGTCCAACATGCAGCTCAAAGACCACCACAACCTCCCATACCAGTTCCCAGTGTGGCACAGCATGACCTCAGCCAGACAGCCGCCTCGGTTGGGGCAGCGCGAGGGAAGGCACCAGGGGCAGCCGCTGATGAGGCAGGAATGGAGCTGGTGCCCGCCCACTGCTGTATCCGAGGCAGGAGCCATTTTCCATCTGGCCAGTTGGGGGAGTGTTGCCCTGTCAAGCTCAGCAGGAGAGGTTATCACCAGGGCCTGGGAGCCCTTGGAGAGTGTCCTGCTCAGAAACTCTGACTGGAAGCCCAAGGGGCTGCTCTGGTGTCCTGGGTGGAAGGGGAGTCAGTGTCCCTGGGGGCTGGGGCCCCTGGTGGCCCGGGGCCTCCTCTAGATGGGTATGAAGCAACCTAGAGGCCTGACACTGTGCACCAAAGGCTCGATCCTGCACAGGGTCCAGCTCAGCCGAGCCCCCAACAGCCCCAGGCCCCAGAGCTGGGATCCAGTGCCCTTGGCAGAGCCGCCCCAAACAGTACCCTGCAGCAGGCAGTCAGTCTGGGGTACAGCCCAGCAAGGGGTTAAGTTTCAGACTTTGGGGCGGACCGCCTGCTTCAGGCCACTTACCCTGTGGGGCCCATGCAAGTGCTGCACCCCCGAAAGCACCCTTCTGCCTCTCTTAATGGACTGTAGCAGCAGCGGCTCCCTCCTGGCAGTGGGTGGGGGACTGGAGGAGGCTATGTGCCCAGGGCACGCAGCACACAAGTGCTCAAGAGATGTCATGGTGCTTATGCATGCTCACATCCTTGTTGAGCCAGGCTCTCCCGCAGGCCTTTCTGCCCCACCCCCAGCCCCACAAACAGAGGCCACTCCCAGCCAAGGAGAGCAGACCCTCCTCCCGACCATGGAGAAAGGTAGTGCTGTCATCCCAAGACCCAGAGCAGGTGAGCGGCTTCCCCAGGGTCACACAGCTGGCCCAGGCTCGTTCTTGCAGGGATGAGCAGGGTCCTGCAGCCCCTCCCCTCAGCCTCCCCTGTGCAACCTCTTGCCTTCACAGAGATTGTCTCCTCAGCCCCTCTGGCTCCTGCTGTCCTCTCATCACCCCGTCCCACAGGCCACTCTGAGCTGAGCATACGGCCTCACTGCCCCTCAGGGGCTCCTGAGCTGGAAGGCGGGAGAGGGAAGAGCTCCCCAGGGCAGGGCCATCTCCCCCCTCCCCCAATTCCCCAGCATCTTAGCTACCCCATTTGGAGGTCCTGGGAAGGATTCGGGGGTTGAACAACCCGTGGGTCACATTGTCAGAGGTGAAGACGATGACGTTGCCTTTGGTGTCCCCGTAGCAGAACACACCTCTGTGATAGTCAGACCTGAGGGGAGGTGGGGACAGAAAAGGCTGGGTTGCACACACCAGCTGCAACCCTCCACCCTCCCAGTGTCCAACGACGTTCCTCCACCTGGGAGCAAGAGCAGTTCCAGCCTTGCCCTCAACAGCTGACAAACATGGGCCCAGCCGCCCAGATCCAGATCATCGGTGAACCAGGTCCAAAAGAAATCACTGTTTTCTTTTAAAACCCAAACAAATGAGTCCTGGTCCTCCAGATGCTCATTATCAGCTCACCCCTACTGATGGACCATGACACTCCCAGAGTCCTCGGCCTTGGCGGGACAAGCCTCTGCCAGGATTCGGTGGCTGACTTGCTCAGGGCATGGGAGGAAGAGGGACTGATGACTGAGTGACACCCCCCCACCCCCGTCAGGAGGGGCAGCTTGCTGAAGAGAACACAGACACACAGAGTGGGAATCTTTCCAGGGCTGTTTCCAGAGAGGCTTTCTGGGAGTCCCAACCCTGCTGAGTGATGTGGCCACCAAGGCTGTGTGCCAATCTCCCTGAGACTCACCAGTAGTCCATGGCCAGGACACAGCTGTCCAGATCAATGAAGGTGAAGGCCCGGGCACAGTTACGGTTGCTAATGTCAAAGAACTCTGGGGAAGACAGAGATGGGGAGACATGCATGGAACCCAAGCCCACGTCCCAGGCCTTGGGGGTCTGGTGACAACACGCAGCATCTGCTTACCAGCTGCAGCACCCCCAGAGGACTCTAACCCATGCCCACAGCTGGCTTGGTGACAGGTCTCTCCAAGTGTAAATGCATGCCCTCCAATGGCCGAGAGCAGGCCTGGGGAGCTGTCAGGGACTCACCTATCTTCTGGTCAGTAGATGCAACTGCAATCAGGTTCATGTTATAGAGACACACCATGTCGATGACCCACATCTGCAGGTTATAGACCTGCTGGATCTGGTTAAGCTGGCCAGAGGAAGAGCAGAGATCTGGGCTGGGGAGGTTTGCCCAGCAGAGCACACCAGGAGCACGGGATCCCATGAGCCCTCTCCTGCCACCCAAGGCCCTGGAGCCAGCCATAGACCTGGTACGGAGCCCAGTGTTCCCACCAACTACTGATAGGGCCTTTGAAGTTCCCTGACCTCTCTGAGTCTCAGTTTCCACATCTGTAAAATGGGCTTAAGGAACACCCCTCCTCACAACCCCTTTTTAGAGCCATTTGACATGCTCATTAAAGTTTTAAGTACTTTTTTAAAGATTTTATTTATTTATTTGAGAGAGAGAGAGCACAAGTAGGAGAGGGGCTTGCAGAGGGAGAAGCAGACTCCCCACTGGGCGTGGAACCCACCTGACACAGGGGCCTGATCCCAGGACCCTGAGATCATGACCTGAGCTCAAGTCAAGACAGTTAACCGACTGAGCCACCCAGGCGGCCCACTCATCAGTTTTAAATGTGCATGGTTTGTAATTCTGGGATCTACTTCCAAGCCACATCTATGGATGTGTTCCCACCTGCTCACAGAGAAGTGCGTGCGAGGGCAGGCCCTGCTATATTGCTGTGATAGCAACAGGCCACAGGCTGCCTGCAGAGGAACGCAGATATAAACCCAAACCGCAGCACCACTCGGACTTTACAAACGAGGGAGGTGTGCACCTGCCACAGAGAAGAGTCACCAGGATCTATTATGCAATGAGAAGGCAAGGTAGAAAGCAGCACTATCATGTGCTACCATGTGTATATTTAAAAAGAAAGGGGTGGGGGGATGTGCGTACAGTCTAACCACGGAAGAGCACCCCAAAACTGGTCATAGAAGTTACCTCCCGGGAGAGAATTAGGGTCTGGGAGAGGGAGACTGACTTCCCACGAACTGCCCTTCTGCCTGTCTCTTTCCCCCCCGCCAGTTTAATTGAGATATAATAGACACAGAACACTGTATTCATTTTTGCTTGTTTTGTCTGAATCTTGTTTACCATCTGCGGGTGTCACCTGGTTCAAGCAGCTTCTGAACAAGAAATCGTCCTGCCAGGGTGTGAGGTGCCTTTCTGCGTTCCCCTGCCAGCCTCACGTAACACCCCTGCAGACGGAATTTGAGTGGGCACTCCAGGCTCCAGGTGGGGGATGCCACACAAAAGGCATGTCAGCAGGAATGGACTTTGGTGTCCAGGGAAAGAGGAGGCTCGGGGAATGGGAGGATGGGAGAGGAGTTCAGGGTGACCAGCTAAGAAACTTGTATTTTACTCCCCGAATAAGGCCACAGACTGGGAACTGAAGGAAGCAGGGAGTGCCACATGAAACAGAAGGGAAGGGGGCTTTCAGGCAGCTCTTCTAGGTGGCGATGCGGAAGGGCCAGCAAAGACTGGGGCAGGGAGGGGACCATTGCATCAGAACTCAGACACACCAAGAGCACAGAGGCTGGTGCTGGCAGCTGGGCAGTGAGGACAATGGGCCAGGCCCCTTGGCCACCTACACACAGTAGCGGGGACTGTAACGCCCATCACCTCCATGTTCCTCCCAGAAGCCCAGGGCCACCCTAGGGAGTTTCAGTGACTCGTCCAAGGCTGCACAGCTGTGAAGTGAAGCCCAGGCCTCTCCCCGCAGACTCCAGTATTTTCCATCTGCATGACCACGGCATGCAGTGGGTGTTCATGGACAGTGCTTGGTGGATCACTCTTGCCAATATCTACTTGCCTAAGCAGCCCCTCAAGGAGGAATGTTGGGCCTTCCGGTGAGCCTCCCTCTGTCCTCAACCCTCCCAGACTTGGCCTCTGAGGGGTGCTGAGGTGATCAAGTAGCAGCCATAACCAACATTATTTAGCTCAGGCTATAAAGTGCCCTCTTCCCACCAAAATAAACACACAGAGAAAAAGAGGGTGGAGGGTGCCAGAAACCCTAGCCTCAGGAACTCGGGTGTGAGTCCCCCTTGGTCCTGGGCTACCAAGTACACCCGAGAGAGTCACTGGACCTCCACAGACCTGTCTCCCTAGGCAACCGAGAGGGGATGAGCCAGAACCCTCCGGCCCCACGGGACTCCCCCTGATGCATCTATGAAACACTGCTGTTTCACAGGCTTCTGAAACCCTTCCTGCTGCTGGTAGCCTTCTCAGGAAGCCTTCCTTCTCTGGGGAGCTGTGCCTTCCTCATGTGCTGGGCGATTCTGGCCTGGCCTGGTGACACTAAGTGCACAGCCAGTCTTCCTGAGTGTTTTCCCACTTACTGCACTTGGCCAGGAGCCAACAGCACAAAGACAATGATGATGTCAGCTTATATTTGTCCGGCACTCACTGGAGGCCTTGTCCTACTCTGAGTACCCTATGGGTATTATTATGTCATTAAATCCTCCCAGAAGCCTGAGGGGGTTACAGTGACCCCATGTGACAGATGAGGAAACTGAGACCTATATACTGTCCAAGGTCACAGAGCCGGAAGGTGGTAGTGTCAGGTTCTAAGGTGGGCTCCAGAGCCCACTCTCACAACCACTGTGATTTCCTGCCCGGTCCAGGTGAAGGATTTGAATCAGCAGCACCTGGTGATGGAGTGGTTGTGACAGGGAAAGGAGAGGGGGCTGATCTCTAACACAGGAACCTTGGTGGGTGATGATACCACTTACTGAAATGGGGCCCAGAAGTAAGCCTGGTGGCCAGGGAGGGCTACAGTGACATTCTGTTTGGAAAAACTGGGTGTAAAAACTGTTGGACATCCAAACACCCAGATGTCATCCTGCTTACAGAAGAGGAACATGAGGGTCCCAGTCCCACAGTGAAGCCAGAACCTGGCCCTGGGAGCAGTGACCACAGTGACCATGAACCCAAGACTGAGCTTACTCTGGGTCCGGGTCACCTTCACTATCGAGGTACAAAGGCAAAGCCTCCCCGACCACCCCATGTGTCTCCACGGGTGGGCCTCCCTCACCCTAAAGGAGTTAAGCAGCGAGAAGGCCTCAGACCAGATCTGCAAGATCCCATCCTTGGTGACAGTCAGGAGATGTCCCGTCTTCTTGAACCGCTGGGTTAAAAACTGCACCTTCACAATCTCACAGCCATGGTTCCTGTGGAAGGTGATGGAGGAGAGAGAAGGACTCAAACAAAAACAGAATGAAGAGCACAGAGGAGGAAGGAGAGAGCAAGCAAGGGGAGCTCCCTTCGCAGGTGCGCACGCTCGCGCGACGTGTGACTCTGCCAGGCGGGTTTCTACCATTATCAGCGGTTGCCGAAAGAAAGAGAGACCCAAGAAGGCCGCTGGTATGAGACAGGGCTCCACAAGCAGTAGCTTCTCCTATCACACAGCCAATCAGCTTCCTCAGGATGGGACAGGGTCAGAGGAAGCAGAGAACAGAGGTCTTTTGCAAAACTTCTTTTATGAGAAAAATGGTCTACAGGAGGCGAGTGGAGGGGGCCTTGCCACTGAAACCTTCATAATAAGAGATTCTGGAAACTCGGGGTAGAGAAAGGGAGTATAACCCAAGCACGCGATAAAAGTAGACAAGGGACAGTGTATCCAACAGAACCCCGTGTACCTGACTCCTCATCTCCAAGGCCAGGTCCTGAGCCCAGCAAAGGGCTCCCACGGCAGGCCTGGCCTTGCAGGACTTCCCAGCAGGCTACAGTGATGCCTTCTTTCCTGCCCCAAGCTGGCTAAGCTGGCGGGCTGGCTGCTAACGGGAGCACCATTTTGACTTCTAGACATGGCACAGCACACACTCTCCCACCTGACGTTCCCACACCTCCAGGCCCTGGCGGAGCAGGGGATGTTAACTCACCTCACAGGGACCCAGGGATAAGCATTTGCCTAGAGTTATGTCCTGGCTACAGGCAGAGCTCAAATTAGAACCTCGGCAGCTCCATCCCTACTCCAGTTGGAGTCCTCTGCAAATCTCACTGTGGACACCATGTGACCTGTGGCTGAGGGCTAACCCACAAGCCTGTGAAATTCCACGTCCGAAACAGTCTCAGCAGGAGAGAGGGTGATGGTGTGTCTGGACACGGCTCCTCTCTCTCCCCCGCCCCCCACGGCCTGCAGCGCTGCCCGGTCTGCCCTCAAGCATCATTCCCAGGGCCACCTGTCGCTTCAGGGCCACGGGACCCTGAGGGGTCGACACAACAGGTGAGAAGCCATGAGAAGTGAGTGGAGCCCTCAGGAGGTGTTACGCCACAGGGCCAGCACCTCCGCCTGCCAGACTGTGGAGGCATCCCAGAGGGGGCATTCAGTGATCTTGACCCAGACTCAGGAATGGGGAGCCAAATTTTAAGATGACCCGTTCATGAAGGTAGTTAAATAGTACTTGGCTATTTTCTCTGCCAAGCTGGAAATGCTCTCTGGGTTTGAAGGTTGAGCAAATAAATAGGGCAAAATAGCGACAGGCTTCTTAACGTTTTTGTTCTGGCCCTTTAAGCACCCTTGGGAATCTAAACGTCCCAAGGAAATAGAAAGACACATGAAGGCTTGGCCACATCAGGTCATCATGTATGGTTATAAAATCCTTCATCGTTCGTATTTATTGACTATTCCTCAACTGAATCTTGACCAAAATTGTTTTAGTTGCCCTTTCCTGGTTTTCATTACACCATCTCTCTGAATCTCCAGGTGTTCTGGGGCAGAGACTACTTCTGGTTCACCGTCTTTCCCATAGCCTGCTCTGGGGGTGGTCCCGAGAACAGATCCAGCCACAGCACCTCCTAACCAGGCCACAAATGCCGGTCACCAAGTGTTGGACCAGAGGACCTGGCTCCCTGGCCCCAGCTGCCTGCACTGGGCAGGAGATGCGCAAACCCCCAGGTGGTCTCCGGGAAAGGAACTCTGGGAAGAGGCCTGGGCCATTGGCCAGATCCACTGGAGGGTTCCTTGTTCTTAGGGAGTTCAGAGGTGCGGGAGCAGACAGGGCCATGGCACAGAAAGATGAGGTGAAGGTCCAGATGGCACGGTGCGGAGCCACGAGGGGGAGCAAACAGGCAGGGTCAGGAGGAGGTCAAGGCAGGGACAGAGCCACATGCTCCAGGAGTGATCAGTGGCCCGTTCCCGAGGCCTGGTGTGGCCTCCAGGAGCAGCTACCCGTGATGGCTTTTACTCCCCGCCATGTGAGCCATCTGTGCCCTGTGGATAAAAGCCCCAGGCCCACTCAGCACTAGCGGCGGGAGGAAGCAGGAGAAACGGTGATGCTGCAGGGAGGGTCCAAAACAGCAACCCCACCATTCTCATTTGACCTCCCCGAACCTCTGTTTCCTTGTCTGTAAAGTGGGAACACGTCACCCACCTTAATGCTCAGGCTCGCCTACAGGGTCGAGGGGCTGAAAGGAGCCTTGATGGCCCCACAAAGACTGGCTGGCAGACTTAGGGAGCAGCGCTTGCTCCTTGTTCCCACACACCCCTTCAGTCCAGGGAGAGGCTGCTTACAGGGGGACGATCCTCATGGGAAGGTGGAAGCGCAGGCGGTACTGGCTTGTTTTCATCCTCTCCCTTCTCTGGAACTCCCGCATCATGTAATCCACATACTTCTGCTGCCTCGGGAAGAAACACGAGGCAGGACAGCGTTGGCCGAGCTATCAGAGCACTGGGCTTTGGGGGCCAATGCCTGGCTTCCGGTGCCTCCCCCATGCTTCCCAGCCCCTTCCAAGGGGCTCTCTGGCTCTCTGGCTGCTGCTTCCTGGAGCTGGCCAAGGGGAGGAGCCCAGCCCCTGAGCTGTTCTGGGATCTGGGATCCCAAGGACATATAGCAGCACCTCCCTCCTTCATGCGTTTCCGTGATGCTAAATACATCTGCACATCATCGCCACATCCGGCATCTTGTTTGAATCTCTTTGTTCACCCTCACTTTATGGGTAATAAGACTGAGGCCCATAAAATTAGAGATGAGTTGTCCCAGCTCATATAACAAGTTAACAGCAGGGGAAGACCCAGAAGCCAGGCCAGAGGGCAACTCTAGAATCTACTGATGCCTCATAAAGGCCAAAACAGGCCACCTTATGAACCATTTCTTTATAAAGAAAGAGGGAGTTATTAAATCATTGTGTAGATAGCAGAGAATTCTGGAAACATGTTTATTGTAGAATATTAAGAGAAATGAAAGAAAAAACAAAATAGTATGTATGCCTAAGCCGAGGAGAGGAATGTCAGAGTAGTTAACACCCGGGCTCCTGGGGCAAACTTCCCAGGTCTGAAGACTAGCTCAGCTGCTAACTAGCTCTGTCACTCTGGGCAAGTTTCTTAACTTCTTCATGCCTCAGTTTCCCAATCTGTCAAATTAAGGTAAATAACAAGACCTACCCTGTAGGATTCCTGTGAAATTTAGGTAAAATAATACATAAAGTGCTTAGCACAACGCCGGTATAAAGGCTAGTAATCATGTGGGCATTGCTACGTCAATACATCAGACTATTTTGTTGTACTTTTCTGTATCTTTCTGTATTCCATATTCTTGAATGGTACGTCTGCTCATCACAGAACATATAGAATCAGGGAAAAAATCTGCTCTAAAACCCTGGCGTTTTTGGATGGAAAAGCCACAGGCCTGCCTGTTGGCTAAGTGGCCAGAAAGGGCCATGAGATGGTTGTGGCACCTGCTGGGACTGAATGGGGGGCTGGTGGGCGGTATCCTTACTGCCAGGTCACTGACATTTGTCATACACTCTCCTAACTCCCAGGAGAAGAATGAGCTGCAGTAAGCCCTGCTCACAGAAGTCTCAGGAGGGTTCCCTCTACCCAACAAGCACCCCAGAATCCACAGGTGGCTTTCTGATGCCTTAACCACTTCCCCATCTTCAGCCTTCCACGTGCTCTACGGATCCACCACGCCTGGACCCTTCAGTGTCCCTCCAGCTACCTGAGGCAGCAGGGGCACCCTCCTCACCCAGGTGACGGAGCCAGTACAGTCTGTGTCCACCTTCAGAAACAGCGCCTCCAGCATCTCATCTGACATATTGCTCAGAATCTTCTTCATGGCCTTAATGAAAGCATTCATGTCCAGGGCTTCAAAAGAGAAGAAAGAACATCATCCACGTCATAGCAAGTCACTGGGCCCCATCAGCAGCCACAGTGTTCTTGGGTGTCTGGGCGCTGAGGGAGGGCACCCAGAGAATCATGTTTGCTGGTTTGTCCCTTGAATCTCATCTATCTGTTCAATCAGCCCACAAATACTGGCTGCACACCTTCCACGCCGGAGCCCTGTGTTGGCCCCACAGCACTGCTGGGTGAGGGGCTACTGAAAAAGATATCATTTCTGAACAAATAAGACAGGACCAGGCATTGAGACAAAGAAAACTGATGAAAACTCAGAAAAAAAAAAAAAAGAGAGAGAAAGAGAGAAAACAGAAAGAAAGAAAAGAAAAGAAAGAAAAAAAGAAAGAAAAGAAAGAAAGGAAAAAAGAAAGGGAAAGAAAGAAAACTAATAATGGCAACAAAGAGACATAAATTAATTCAAATATACAAAGAGAGAGGTCTTTTAAAGGCAGTTAAGGGGGGCACCCGGGTGGCTCAGTTGGTTAAGGGACTGCCTTCGGCTCAGGTCATGATCCTGGAGTCCTGGAATCGAGTCCCGCATCGGGGTCCCTGCTCAGCGGGGAGTCTGCTTCTCCCTCTGACCCTCTTCCCTCTCGTGCTCTCTATCTCTCATTCTCTCTTTCTCAAATAAATAAAATCTTTAAAAAAAAATAAAAAATAAAATAAAGGCAGTTAAGGGGCACCTGGGTGGCTCAGTCAGTTAAGTGTCTGCCCTCAGCTCGGGTCATGATCCCAGGGTCCTGGGATCAAGTCCCGCATCAGGCTTCCTGCTCAGCAGGAAGGGAGCCTGCTTCTCCCTCACCCTCGGCCCCTCCCTCTGCCCACTTGGGCTCGCTCTCTCGCTCTCACTCTCTCAAATAAATAAAATTTTTAAAAAAATTTTAAAAATAAAGGCAATTAAAAGGTTAACTTTGGCTGGAGGGAAAGTTGGGGAGGGGAGAACAGCAGAGGGCAGGGATAAAATACTCTCCCCATGCTGGGTTTTGTGACTTTAAGGGAATCTGTCTGTCGATGGGCCAATATCCCCAACTGGATTTTTTTTTTTTGTTTTTTATAATCACAGTCTATAAAAAGTGCTTCTAAAGTCCCCTCCAAATATCTGGACTCCTCGCCACAGTCCGAAGGCTGCATATTTTCTGGCTCTGCTAAGACCTCACCTCCCACTGCCATCCCCCACTTCGTTCCCGGTTCCAGCCATAATGTCCCCACGCTGTTTCTCACACCACCGAGCATACTCCCACCTCAAGGCCTTTGCACCATCTGGTCCCCTCCACAGGGAAGCCTTCCCTAGGGACTATCTAGGGAGGCCTCCTACCCCCGACACCCAGCTCCACTGTCGCCCCTGACCTTCCGCCTCCCTGCTCTAGCCCGTGAGCTCTGCAAGTGCAGGGTGAGCCTGTGCCATCCGTGACTGGGTCCTTGGCACACGGCACACGCTTGTTCCCCGAGTACTGCTGTTGGCACTAGGATGTAGACGCGATGATATCGGGTGCTTCTCTGTGTTCCCACTGACCAGTTAATGAGAGGGACTCGTGAGGAAACCGTGGGGCACAGAGGTGAGGTCATGCGCTCAAGGTCACGGGGTGGTACCCGAGGCTGCTCCCGGCAACCTGGTCCTTCCATGTATGAGTTGGATGTCAGTCCATGACACGGACCCTTCCCTTTAGGAGGGGGCCAAGAGCCAAAGAGCCTTTGTGCAGCGTTGAATGAACAAAGCCCTCTGGAGAGGGAGAGCACTAGAGGAAACAACCTGCTCCTTACACAGGTGTCTAAGAAGCCTGTGATTGTTCAGCACCATGTTAGGTCAATACACTTCTCATCAACGGTTCACCAAACACTTTTCTGAAAACAAGAAAAGAGAATAGACACAAAGGTATTTGGGAAAGGAAACATACACTGTGGGGTCCAGGCAGGGCCCCCTTCCCCCCTCACCCACCTCAAGCCAAATGGTTAATTAATCACTCAAAAACCTACATGTGAAAATATCACTTCCTTAGGGAGGGGGTCACCACCAGGATCAGGCAGGAGGACACTTTCTGGGGGACAGGAAATGTTCTATAACTTGATCTGGGTGTTGGTTACATGAATGTATGCAGGTGAAAGATGCTGTGAGCTGGACCCCAAAACCTGTGCATTTTGTGGGAAGTAAATGATACCTCAGTGTAAAGATGCATATTATTTTACTTCTGAATTGCACTCAGGGCGAACTCTAACCGCCTTTCCCAGCACCTCTGAGCTTAGCCAGCTCTACTTATTTTTTTTTTTTTTTTAAGAGAGAGAGAGAGGAAACCCGAGCGGGAGAGGGGGTATGCAGAGGGAGAGGAAGAGACAGGTTCTTAGACAGGCTCCACACCCAGCACAGAGCCCAATGTGGGGCTCGATCTCACAACCTGTGACTGTCACCCCTTCCAGCTCAGAAGACAAGGGGGTGTTCTGACAGCCAACACGCCCCAGCCTGGGTGGTCCTGGGCCCTTTCCTCAGGGAGGTCCAGCCTCACTCCATCCTCCTCTCTTCGGCCTGCACCCTGCCGGCACGTGCCCTCCAGCACCCAGCACTGGACACCCCCTCTGCCCACCACTCCCTGACATGTGCCCACCCACTCTCCTCAGCCACCAGAGACCTCGGCCCACACCTGATGGTGCCCTTCCTTGCCTTCAAGGCCTCCTGCCTTCAAGCAGCGACCCCACTGGTCACTCTGGTCTCCTCCAGGCTCCGTTGCCTGCCCTGCCCTGTCATTCAGCATGTGCCTCAGCTCTTCTCATCACTGTCCCCTTGCTTTTCTGACACTCTCCTTGAGTGACCTCACCTATTCACCCATCTCTGCATCTCAGGAGAGAACATGTCTCCCTTGTCTCTGACTGTTCCCAAGTGTTCCCCTGGTCCCTTCAACTCAGCATGCTTAAAATCCAGTTTATTATCTTTTTTTAAAAAAGATTTTATTTATTTATTTGAGAGAGAGAGAGAGCACAAGCAGGGGGAGTGGCAGGCAGAGGGAGAGGGAGAAGCAGGCTCCCCGCTGAGCAGGGAGCCCTATGTGGGACCTGATCCCAGGACCCGGCGATCATGATCTGAGCCAAAGGCAGACACTTAACCGACTGAGACGCCCTGGTTTATTATCTTTATTCCACTATATGTTGGCCTTTCCTGTGTTCCCCATCTCTGCTAATGGCATCACCTCCAGCCAGGCTGAAGACCTGAGGGGGGTTTCCAGTGCCCTCCCTCCTGAAACCTCACAAGAATCCTGTGGTCCAGGGGCACCTGGGTGGCTCAGTTGGTTAAGCAGTTAAGCTTAAGTCTGCCTTTGGCTCAGGTCATGATCCCATACTCGCTTCCTGCTCAGCGGAGAGCCTGCTTCTGCTTCTGCCTCTGCCTCTGCCTCTGCCTTCCACTCCCACTGCTTGTGCATGCTCTGTGTCAAATAAATAAATAAAATCTTAAAAAAAAAAAAATCCTGTGGTCCTAGAAGACAGGTACTGTCATTCTCCCCATCTTACAGATGAGGACACAGAGGCACGGAGGTTCGGGGTTTGCCCAAGAACACACAATGGCACTGGGAGGATTTGAAACCCGAAGCCTGGGGCGCCCGGGTGGCTCAGTTGGTTAAGCGACTGCCTTCGGCTCAGGTCATGATCCTGGAGTCCCGGGATCGAGTCCCGCATCGGGCTCCCTGCTCAGCAGGGAGTCTGCTTCTCCCTCTGACCTTCCTCCCTCTCATGCTCTCTCTCTACCATTCTCTCTCTCTCAATAAATAAATAAAAATCTTAAAAAAAAAAAAAGAATGAAACCGGAAGCCTTCCCTCATCTCCATTATAATGTCCACTACCCTCTGCAGGGCGGTCACGTGAGGAGCCAATCCCCTCCTGGCCAAGACACTTACCTTTCTCCAGCAGCTCTAGATATGTCACATCCCTGTCAGACCCGCTGCTGGGGCTCAGGGCCCCTCCTGACCCGAGTGCACCCACATCCTCTGTGGCTGCCTCCCTCCCAGCCTTGTCCCAGGACACCCCTTCTCCTCCCAGCACCCAACACCCCTGCACCTTTCCTCTGCCCCCCCCCACTTTTTCCTGGGAAACTCCCACTTCACCTTTCTCTTTCTTTGTAAAGCTAAAATGTAGGATTATGGACTGTTTGTATCTATTTTTTTTATATACTTATAAGCATTTTTTATTTTTTAATTTTTTTAAAGATTTTATTTATTTATTTGAGAGAGTGAGAATGAGAGAGAGAGAGAGAGCACATGAGAGGGGGGAGAGGCAGACTCCCCGCTGAGCAGGGAGCCCAATGTGGGACTCTATCCCGGGACTCCAGGATCATGACCCGAGCCGAAGGTAGTCGCTTAGCCAACTGAGCCACCCAGGCGCCCCTATAAGCATTTTTAAATAAATGCAATATTTAAAATATTTAAGAAGAAAATGTTTCCTAGCCTCCTCTCTGCCATTTGGGGAGGGGGGGTGGAGAGGTATGTGTGTGTCCCACAGTGCTTGCACTCCTAGGGCACAGTCACCAAGCAAAAGCACTGCATGGTCATGCCCCTGGCTCTCCCAGAAGGGGTCTTCTTTCATTTACTTTGGATCTTAAGTGCTACACGCAATGTGGGGTGCCCACAGAGCACAGTTTCCATGTCAGGGCACCCGAGTCACTGCATTTGGGCCTGTCGTTAGTGTCTGGCCCCTTCTATGTAAAGTCACAAAGCCACAGGGCATCATAACAACAGAATCAAATCTGACAGAGAGGGCTGGGTAACCCATGAAGCTCTGTACCAAGGCTGATTCTTACCCTGCCCGGCAGTGCTTGATGAAACGTCAGCTGGCGAAAGTGGGAGCACACTCGGCATGTGCACCCCACATGTCCCCTCGGGAGCACCTGTGCGGAAGGTCGGTGCCACACTGGCTCGCAGGCTTGGGGCTGCAGGGCCCCCAGCTCAGTGGCTCTCCCTTGATCCCCACCCCAGCAGCCCGCAAACGCCCCCAGGCAGGCCCCGGAGGCGGGGCCCGGGGGCACACAGACACTTTTAAGACCTCCCAGGAGAGGCACGGGCATCCCCCCTACAAACCACAGACCCAGGGGCACCTGGATGGCATAGTTGATGGAGCGTCCAACTCTTGGTTTCGGCTCAGGTTGTGATCTCAGAGTCGGGAGATCGAACCCCGCGTCCAGCTCCGCACTCAGCGCAGAGTCTGCTTAGGACTGTTTCTCTCCCTCTCCATCTGCCCCTGCCCCCCTGTGCTCTTTTGCGCTCTCTCAAATAAATAAATAAATAAATAAATAAATAAAAATAAATAGATAGGTAGATATAGATAGATAGATACATAGATACATACATAAATAAATAAATACATAAATAAATACATAAATACATAAATACATAAAATAAATACATAAATACATAAATACATAAAATAAATAAATACATAAATACATAATACATAAATACATAAATACATAAAATACATAAATACATAAATAAAATAAATAAAAAAAAAAATAAATGAAAGAAAAAAAGAAAGAAAGAAAAGAAGAAAAAAAGAAGGAAGGAAGGAAGGAAGGAAGGAAGGAAGGAAGGAAGGAAGAAAGGAAGAAAGGAAGAAAGGAAGAAAGGAAGAAAGAAAGAATGAACCAGAGACCCTCAGGGCGCCTGGCTGGCTCAGCCGATGGAACATGCTTGATCTCCGGGTTGTAAGAGCCCCATGTTGGATGTGGAGATGACTTAAAAATAAAATCTTTAAAAAAAAAAAAAACACAAAAAACCATGAACCCTCCTCAAAGACCTCCAATCAACAAATAAAAAAACTAAGGCCCCGAAAAGGAACTTGTAGAATAGACAGGAGAACCCTGGCATCTTCCCTTTTCCCTCCGAGACAGGCACTGATGGTCAGGTCAGGGTTCCCAGGAAATGCTATGGAACCCATATTCATGACTGATTGATTGATTGATTGACTGATTTTAGACAGAGAGAGAGAGAAAGAGCACAAGCAGGAGGAGCAGACTGAGAGGGAGAATCCGGCTGAGCGCAGAGCCCGATGTGGGGCTCTATCCCACAACCCTGAGATCATGACCTGAGCCGAAATCAAGAGCTGAATGTTTAACCAACTCCACCACTCAGGCGCCCCCATGACCCACCTCTTTAAGAGACTTTTGAAAGAGAAAAATGAACCTATTTTCCTTTACCCTGTATCAACGAAAGGTGAATTTTCCTTTCCTCCATTTAAAACCTGGCCAGTTTTTTTTTCTTTTTTTTCTTTTTTTTTTTTTTTAATGAGGAAACTCTTTTTACATTGACATGAAAAGATGTCAAGACGTATTAGGTAAAAAGCAAAAGGGAAAACTTGATAAAATTATTTTTCTTAAAAGCAGGAGTAGACAATTGTGCGGATCCTTTCTCGATGTATATGGATATCAAATCAGCATGGTGTATGCTTCAAATATGCTACAAATTTACTTGTCAATTATAGCTCAATAAAGCTGAAGGAAAGAAAACGAGGCGTAGAACAGCATGGACGACAGGCTGCCACTGCATACCAAAAGGGGAAGTGACCACATCGCTTCTGAGCTTCTCCAGGTCACAGGAGACTGAAAGAAGGCACTGTGGAAGGAGCGGAACTGGGCAGCTCGGGTCTGGCCTGAAGAAGACATTTTCTCTGTATGCCAAAAAAGTATCACGGGCAAAGTACTTTTTGACTTTTGAACTGCCTAAATACACTGCCTACTCAAACACAAACACCATAAAAATCGTGGTCAAAATTGGCACACTCAAGGCCCTCCAAGACCCAGCTGCCAAACACCGACACCAAATCACTCTAGTTAGGAGCCATCTCATCTTTGGGTCAGGCACATGCCAACCGTCCCTGCCCTCACTTTGTTCATCTGTGAGCTGGAGATTTCTTATCCTTTCCTGTCCACATCACAGTATGGCTGTAAAACTCAAATTAATGGGGCCAGGAGCTCTGCCCCCAGAGCTGGTACTTGGAGTCTAGTGGATATAAACAAAGATACCTTTAAGTATTCCTATTACTTGCCTTTATGTGTATCACCCCCAGGAGAAAAATTAAGCTCTAAAGAAAGAAAAAATCTGATGCACAAAGGATGTTCTTCACAATGTTCTTCAAACTCAGTAAAACCTAAATATCCAATTGTAGGGGAATGGCTTAGTCCACAGTGTAACACTTGCATTCATGAGAAATGATGATTTGGAAGACCACAGAAGATATGTAAAAGCCCTTAAGGTATTATACATCCAGAGGAAAAGAAGGGTCTGAAGTCACATACATAGTACAATTACAGACACGTGAAAACACACATAGCCATCTGTGGCCGAGATACTTCAGGCAGCCCCAGGATGTCCGCCTCCCGGTGTTCGTGCCGTCTCATGATCCCCTTCTCTTGAGTGGAACAGAACCCATGACTCACTTCTAACCAAGAGAATATGGCAGAGGCGGTAGGATGTATGGGGTTTTGTGTACATAAGTGCATACTTATAAGACTGTAGCACACATCTTTCTGGAGTTGCGATCTCCCCGGCTACCCTGAACCTTGGAATCCACCATGTTGGTGAGTCCCACGTGGCCAGGAACCGTGGGCAGCTGTAGGAGCTGAAAGCAGTCGCCGGCCAATAGCCAGGAGGAAACAGGCCTTCAGTCCTGCAGCTGCAAAAAACTGAATCCTGCCAGCAACCTGAGTGGACATAGAAGTGGATCCTTTCCCCAGCAAGCCCCGGGTGATACCACAGCCCCGGCCTAGCGAGACCCTGAGCAGAGGAGCCAGCTGAGCCATGCCCAGATGCCTGGCCCACCGAAACTGTGAGACGATAAATGTGTGGTTTACGCCACTGCGTGTGCAAGAACACTGTCACACAGCAGTAGATAATAAACCATACATATGAAATTGTTTGGAAGAAACTATACCAAAATGCTGACAGTGGTTACATCCGGGAGCTTGGATCAGGGGTATTGCTTTTCTAGATATGAAATAGCCTCCTATATGCTTACAATATTTATATAACGACAGAAAGCTTTAAAAAGTTTAAAGACACTGGATGAAAAACTGCTTGTCAATTCTGAACCCTGCACACCCCCAGGTATGGGTCCCACCCTGTGCAGAAACCAGAAACGGAGCCTGCAAGGCGGCTTTACCTCTGGCCGAGTCAGTATCATCCTCAAACATTTTCTCCATCTTGGCCATGTGTAGCGGGGTAAACAGTTGAGACTCATGTTGGCTAAGGGTGATAGATGATGCCGGGGAGCTAAGAACCTCCTCGCTTTTCTGGACTCCACCTGGGGTGGATGCCTGAAACAAAGAGGACTGTAAGAACCGGGGAGTGAGAGGGTTGATACCTGAGCTGAACATTTCTAAGCACATCTTATTGAAATAGACTCTTCGTGGGGAGGACAGGGTATGTAGGGTTACAGTGAGGCAAATTAATAAATCTTTAACCCTTTTAGACCAAGGAAGACCAAGAAAGATCTAGACTGTCTGCCCTGACTTTGGGGAGTTCACTACTGGTCCCCTTTTGCAGATGCTGTGACTGAGGCTCAGCGAGGTAGCGGACACGGACAAGGTCTCACCTACACAGACCAGGAGTCCAATTTATAAGGTGCTTCCGTTCAGTAACTGTATTGTTTCAATCTTCAGTGCTCAGAATTCAAGACCCCAAGGAATCCAGCTCCATCTTCCCCAGCCAATTTGATTTGGTCCTGAGCTTCCCAGACGCCCGCCTGGGTCAGGGTCAGATCAGATCATCTGCACACACACCAAAGCTCCTGGAGACACCCCTGATAGGGGCTTTCTGCTTCTTCCTCCCATTGTCTCCCCACGCCCCCCCACATAGCCTATCCTGCCCTCTCCAGCCTATCCAGCCTATCCAGCCATCAACAATGAAAACACCTCCTCTCCGTAGCCCCTACACACACTTAACACAATGCTTCAGGTCACGAAAGGCTCAGGTCATCAAAGGCTGCTTCCCCCAAAGGATGCCAGGAGTGGACCATGGGATAACCATTGAATGTTTGTTGCTCACTGAAATGCACTGCGTTGGGTCTTGGGCATTCAAGACTTTGGTTCAAAAAGCCAAAAACAATGTGGATGAAGTTGGATGGCTCACTCTCCCCACCCCGACCCCACCAAACCAGCAAACATACTCATCCTCCTGTGAACTTCTGTTCATTCCCTCATGGTCTATACACATTTGTGGAATGTCAGGCACTGTGGGTACATGTGTGAACACAGTGAAGACCTGCCTTCCTGGAGCCCAACAGGTGAGCTAATTAATATTCCCACAGCCACACAGGTCTCAGATTAGACATCTCAGCACCATCTTTGGCTCTTCCCTTCTCCGTCTATGCATTCTTACTGTCCCTCCTGCTGATTCTTACTATGATCCTCCTCCTATACCTAACCCCTGCTCTCCCACATCCCTGGCCCATCCCAAACACTGGCCTTGTGCTGGGACAAGAATAGGGATGTCCCCCAACTGGGACCAGAGTTTGGCCTTCCTTTCCCCTCCACCTCCCCACATTGGGATCAATCACCTTTCTGGAAGACAAATCTGATTATAACTTTACCCCAGCTCTGACACTTTCCAGGCTACTACCATGGCCCCCACCCCCACTCCTGTGTATGGCATTCAAAGCCCTTTGCATTGTAGCCCTGACCTGTCTTTCTAGTTTCAGGGCTCACACCATGGTCCAGGCACACCAACTGCTCTCCATCATCCCCAAACACAGCAAGCATTCCACTTTGACTCACATGTTCCCTCTATGCAATGCAGACCATCTCCCCTTGACGTGAACTCCTACCCACTCTTCAAATCCTGGCTCGAATGACACCTCCTCCAAGGAGCTTTTCCATAACTTTCAGGTGACAGTCATCCCTGCCAACTCCATGCTCCCAAACTCTTTGTTCATATCTGCCATGCATGTATGATACTTGTGCATGTCTGTCCATATGTGTAGACAGCAAGGGAAACACACGGCTGTAGAGTCCCAGAGCTCTGGGTTAGAATTCTGCCTGGCTCCCTACTTCCACGCTAATTTACCTTGGGCACATCACATCACTTCTCTGAGCCACACGTTTCTCATCTGCAAAACAGAGACCTGCAGTGCCCACCTTGCAGGGTTGTGGTAGTACCTACATGACCCCCAAACACACTGGCAGTCTCAGCAGACTGTAGTTACACAATAAATGATAGCTCCTATTATTACTCTTATCTCCTAGTGAACTCTTTGAAGGCAAGGGCATATTTAGTTTATCTTAATTTAATCTTATTTAACTTGTACTAATGATCTCTCTCTTCCCCGGCCCCAAGCATGCAATAGACACTAACTGCTTATCCTAGGCTTGGTACAGCCTATCCCACCCCTGCCACAACTTGGCTGGATAAAATTAAGGATAGTCCCTCCAGAGACTGCAAATTGGTAGCCTCAGATTTGTTGCATTTGGCCAACATAGTGTTTTAAAAGGGAAAACCAGCCTGCTGCCATGCACAGGTAACTTACCCACCTGGCCTTGCGAATATCTGAGTTTGCTACCCTGATGCAGAGACAGGTAACTGATAGACTTCTGAGCTAATGAGCGACATCTGGGTGGCTCTGGAACGCCCCTCCCCTTTACCACCTCTAATAGTTTTCTTACCTTTTGAGACTGTGGGCTCTCTCTTAAGTCCTCGGAGGACACTGGTCTTGACCTAGAATAGGGAATCATGGTCACTTTATTCCAACTTTCTAAGACCATGTGGGAGGCTGACCTAGCTAGGTCACAAGAGGGTGGAAAAGAAGTTAGGGTCAGGGGTCGGGGGCTGCTGCCCTGTACCCACAGACACGCCCAGCACATATCTGATGAGCATTCTTTTTCCCCAAGAGCTCCTCCAGTAGGAAGCTTTTCCCAAGCCTATCCCTGTGAGCCTTCTTTCCCCTGATGGGAAGGAGTTGTCCTACTGAAGCCCTGGGGCTTCTCAAGTGAATGCCAGAGGATTCCTAAAGCAGGCCACACTTTCTACAGAATTAGAAGGGGCTGAGGAGGCCATGCAGTTAGGAGACCAACTACAATTCACATACCGGGAAAAGAAGGTCCAGGGGCAGGCACATGTCCAGAGGGTCAAACACAGGGTCCGGAGATGGGGAAGGATGGCCCTACTTTCCACTTCCTCACCCCGCCCCCACCCGCCCTCCAGTGCGCCTGGAAACAGGACTTCTATGGAAGGAGGACGGAATCCTCCTCACTGCAACATGGGATCACATGAGAGTGTGGGAGAGGTCTGGTCCACAGAGTTCTACTCTGAGAATAGAAAAGACATATTTCTACTGGGCCAGTGGCTCCTCCATGTAAGATGGAAGACAGCACTTTGTTAGGATTATTTGAGTGTCAGTCTGCCTCACCAGCAAGAATCCAAAGGGCTTTTTAGGATGGCAGGGGAATGGCCAGGAAAGAGTCAAGCCCCAGACAGGCTCAGGGGACAGAGCTAATGAGCCAGCCTGGCTTGACAAAGGGCTCCTGAGGTTGCAAGGAGGGGAGGAATAGTGGGAGAGAAGAGAGGAAAGAAAAATGGAAGCAGAATGTAGAAGCTCCGGTATTTTGCCAGGGAGTCTGAGCAGGATGAAGGGCAATTATGGAAACTCATCAACATAAGTGGAGGGAAGACTGAAGACTGGCCAACAGTGTCCCAACCTAAATTGTCTTGGCAGCAGCTCAGATGTAAAAACCAAAGGAGAGACAGGAGCCAAAGGAAAGGAGATTTGGAAGCCAAGAACCAGGGTAACTGAGGGAAATGCCAGGAACATTTCCAGGAAAGGCAGCAAAGAGGGAAAGTGGCTTCATGCATGTGATGCTGGGCTGTCCAATTAGAAATGAGAAACAAATACCTGGAAATATGGGGCCTGAAACTGATGACTGGCTACATTTAGGGGACAGAAAGAGGAGGGGAAACACGCAGAAGACAGGAGGAAGGGAGCCTCAGAGTGGACCAAGAGAGTAAGAAAAAGACAAGGCCACTGAACACAGCCTTTAAAGGTCACTGAGGAATAAAGCTGCAGGAGTGGATTGAAGGATCCACTTCTGTTAAGAATATTATGCATGGGGGCGCCTGGTGGCTCAGTCAGTTGAGCGTCTGCCTTTGGCTCGGGTCATGATCCTGGGGTCTATCCCAGAGCCCCGTGTCAGGCTCTCTGCTCAGTGGGGAGCCTGCTTCTCTGCCTGCCGCTCCCCCTGCTTGTGCTGTCAGGTAAATAGATGAAATCTTAAAAAAAAAAAAAAGAGAGAATATAGTGTATGTATATGTTGGCACATGCATAGAAACAGAGCCTGGAAAAATACACTCCAAATTTAATGGTGGTTATCTCTGGCAGGTGAGATTATGGAGGATTTCTATAGTTTAAATCATGCATTTCTCCATTTCTAATTCAAAAACCATTCATGTCAATCTTCAGGATTTATTTCGGTGGAGCAGGTGAAGTGGTGGGTAGTGATTTACATCACTCATCTGTGAAAGACCACTGGCTAGGTGGACTGCAGCATCGTTCGTAGTGGCAAAAAATAAGGCAAATTGGCTATGGGAGAGGAGCGGCTGAGTGAATCAGTACGCCTGCGCTCAGAACATCCCCCCAGCACTCAAAAGGCTGAACCTGGCCTTCAGCAGAGGACGAGCAGGGATTTCCATGAGGTAGTAATAAGTAAGAAAAGATGCAAAAAAGAGTGCACAGTATGATGCCAATTATTTTTTTTATTTATTTTTAAAGATTTTATTTATTTATTTGAGAGAGAGACACACAGTAAGAGAGGGAACACAAGCAGGGAGATGGGAGAGGGAGAAGCAGGCCTCCCGCCGAGCAGGGAGGCCCGATGCGGGGCCCGATCCCAGGACCCCAGGACCACGACCTGAGCCGCAAGCAGACGCTTAACGACTGAGCCACCCAGGCGCCCTGATGCCAATTTTTATAAAAGAATGACAAATAGGTATGTATTTACACATATAAGAACATGTGTGTACATACACACATACATACCACATTTGTAAACAGGACTACCCTTAACAATTATGGGGCCGAGAACAAGAGAACAAATATACGTCCACAGAGCAAGTCGTTTTAAGTACTTAGAAATCAAGTTAGTATACTATTAAATAAAACACATTCTATTCTTCTACCTTGACAAATACTTTCCATAACCTGGAAAACCAGTTTCAAATTTACAGTTCTTGAACTCCTCAGCAAAGTGCCAGAATTTGGCAGTGTGGACAGAGCCAGCTTCCAAGTCCTCTGCCCACCCACCATACCCAACCCGTCCTGGTTAAGGGGCTTGTGGATGGTGGCAGGTTGACAGACACCCCAGCCCACATGCAAGCCACACCTCACCTCCACCGCTCCACAGCCACCTCAAACCTAGGGGGCTGCCCTCAAAAATTACACACTGGGCAACAGGCCCACAAAGAAGCGACTGCCTTCGGCTCAGGTCATGATCCCAGGGTCCTGGGATCAAGCCCCGCATCGGGCTCCCTGCTCCCCGGGAAGCCTGCTTCTCCCTCTCCCACTCCCCCTGCTTGTGTTCCCTCTCTCGCTCTGTCAGTTAAATAAATAAATAAAATCTTAAAAAAAAAAAATCAGATTCAAAGCACTTTGGGCATGGGACTCCAGTATTTAGAGCTGTGGGGGCTGGGGGGGGGAGCTCTAAGGGCCATTAGTAGGACCATTGGTGAAATTTGAACACGGACTCTATATTCTTTTAAGATTTTTATTTATTTATTTGACAAGAGAGATACACGGCTAGAGAGGGAACACAAGCGGGGAAGTAGGAGAGGGAGAAGCAGGCTTCCCGCTGAGCAGGGAGCCCGATGTGGGGCTCAATCCCAGGACCCTGGGATCATGACCTGAGCCAAAGGCAGACGTTTAACGACTGAGCCACCCAGGCACCCCCAGACTCTATATTCTTAGATAATAATCAAATTAATGTTGTTTCCTGCTTTTGACTACTGTGCTGTGGTTATAAGAGGGAATGTCCTTGGGGCGCCTGGATGGTTCAGTCCGTTGAGCGTCTGCCTTCGGCTCAGATCATGTCCCAGGGTCCTGGGATCAAGCCCCGCTTTGGGATCCCTGCTCAGTGGGGAGTCTGCTTTCCCTCTGCCTCTGCCCCTCCTGCTGCTCATGCTCTCATTAATAAAATCTTAAAAAAAATTAAATTTCTATCTAGAATTAGAGAACAGGTTAAGATCAGGAGAAGCCATCCCCATTGGCCTCCAACTATTCCCTCACCTTTCCCTGCTCTGGGGGACGTGGCGGGATGGAGCACGCCACAAACCTGGAAACGGGAGAGAGGTTGAAACAGCCACTAGGGGGGCATGCTAGGGATGGGAAGAGAATCATTGGTTTGTGGAATTGGTGTGTAAGAATTCATAGGGGCAGATGACTTAAGGCCAAACACAGTTACAGCTGTCCCGGAAACAGAAATGCCCTCCTGTTCAGCCTTTGGTTGCAGGCAAATGCATCTCAGGGCCCGCGTGTCCAATCTTTGGGAGACAACGTTAACCCAAAACCCTCACTCACCCTGAACCAGCGTGTTCTCCCCAGGTAAACTTGCTGGCTACGTTTGACAGAGGTATGCTAGTTTTCGACTTCCATTTCAACTGAGACATCTTGGCGCTGTCCCGGAGTCCCAAGGAGCTCCTCTATGAAGTCACTGCGGAACTCCGAGGGCTTCCGCAGTCAGCTGGCCACGTTTAGAACCAGGAGAACAAGACAGTTCCACGTGCAGAACACAAAACGGAACATCAGAATCCATCCCACAAACCACACCACACAGCCATCTTTCATCCGATGTGAAGACATTCTCTTTATTGATAAAAGTTGAACTTAAAACAACAACAGGAGCTACAGCACACTCAGACAGGACAAGTATGAGTACAACATGCCCTGTAGGACATATACAGCACAGTGCCCACCTCTCACGGAAACAGTGGGAAATGCGAGGGGGCCTTATCATAAAGCAGGATTCGCCAAAACCAAAAGGCCAACTGGCCCCCACAGCTGGGACACGGAAGGCACAGCAGCTCTCTACGCACTGCCCTCTGCGTGAGCTCTAATTCTTTGACAAGAGGAAGGCTACAAGAGCATTGTGGATGGGGGTCCTTCGATCTAACCTCAGAGAGGCCTGGACTAGATGCAGCACTGTTCAATCTTGGTCCATGGCACAACACAACAGGGTGACTTGGTCAAAGATAAATCTGTTGGGAAGATTTCAACCAGGGACGTGGATACCCAGGTTTAAACATACCCAGGTTAAATCCTATTTCGTGACCTAGATATTGCCAAAATGTTAATTTACCACCAAACAAGACATTCTCCCCAGATCTATACCACAAAGACAACACCAACATACAAAAAGTCTGCTCCCATTTCATCAATAATGGAGACAAAATTTTGTCACACTGTAGGACATTAAAAGTAGAGTAGTTCAATGAAATGTCGTAAAAGGTACAACTCTTTAAAATCAGTTTTATTAAACTAGGTATTAATACTAGAAGGATTTACTGAAAAAAGAAAACAAGGCCAATGGCTCCACATGTGACTGCTTCCCACTCTTTTTGGCTTTCATTTTCCAGGCCAATGTGACTATTTCTACATACAGCAGTTCCTGCACTTGTCAATTTTTCGATATGAGCCTAAAATATGATAAAATTCTGTCATAATAAATATATTTCTCCTTCCCTGGGAAGAAACAGGAGAAAAAGGGGGAAATATTAAGATGCATTCCACTCTTTAGGTAAAGAAAGCTCAGAAAACTCCCACCTAAAAAAAGTGAAAATATGACCACCAACAACTCAGGTTAAAAAACCAAAAGACGCAACAAGACAAAACAAAACCCAAAAAACTAAAAATAGAAGAGGGAAGGAAGATGTTCACAAGTAAAATCTCCTAGGGGCCCCTGGGTGGCTCAGTCAGTTAAGCATGCGACTCTTGGTTTCAGCTCAGGTCATGATCTCATGGGTCGTGAGATGGAGCCCCTGTGTTGAGTCCCACTTGCAGCAGGGAGTCTGTTTGGGATTCTCTCCCTCTGCCCCTCCCACACACACACTCTCTAAAATAAATTTTTAACGCAGGTTCAAATGCCAAAGATTTCAAAATAC